TGAAAAATCATGTAATCTTTCTCTAACATCTCCCTGTTTGCAGATGATTGAACTTTATTATGGTATGGAAGTGTTTTATAGGCTATATATTGAAGTGTGGATTCCAGATGTCTGTTGGAGCAAGTGCATTATTAATCCATAATCCTGAGGAGATATATACATATCTCGACCTTTCAGCCAAGATTACTCAATCTTAAAATTAAATACATGTGTACATCTGTAGGATTGAGGTCAGAATACAAGATAAATGGATGTTACTAGAGAATCATCAGACAAAAACCACATCATCCATCCATGCTGCAAAAGTCTACCAAAAGAGACAGAACAGAGACATAAAAGAAAATCAACTCATTTTTCTAAATATTTTTTTTGGACATGGACAATCTGAGACTCTTGGTGTATCAAGCAAACCCACCAAGGCTGTATCCATCACATACACCTGGAAACATCAGAGCACATTATGGAAGCGTGGAAGTAAATGTTTCAGAAACAACACAGTTTCTATCTATAGATCTCCAAAAATAGAAGACACTTTTTAAAGCTTGTTTTAAGACAGAAATTATACCTACTCAGCTACAGTTCATTATACCATGGAAATAATCTGTGTCAATAACAAAAAACTTATCCCAAACTTAAAATAACTGGGGAAAAAAAAGGGGAGGGGAAATGTGTAGGTTGTGGACGATGAGAATATCCATATCCACAGCTGTATTAGACAGGATAAAAACATTTAGAAGCAATATTAAATTCCCATGCTTAGTGCTGGCTGGTGAGGGTTGGGGCTGGTTTTCCCTCTGAGCAGATCATGGCACTGTTTTCCAACCAGTGCCCAGAGCTGGGCCCCTTCAGGCAGTGCCTGGATGGGACATCCCAGGGCTGACACAAGCCTGGCCTTCTTCACAGTCAGAAATATGGGAAAAACACTTAAAAATGCTCTGCTTTTCTGACACTGTGATGTAGTGTCAAAACCACAGCATCAGCTGTGGAAAGGGAGTGGTGGTCACTGAGAAAGTGGCTGGGCTGAACTCTGAAAAAAACACTAAAACTTTTTTTTTGCTGGATGTTAATGTAGCTTAAATTATTTAAGATCTAATCATGCCAAGGCGCTGGATCCTGACCTCGTTAGCTCGGAACTGGGAGCTGTCATTTAATTAATGTTGTACTGCAGGGCTCATGCTGAAACCAGAGCTGAAGTTCTCTGCTGGGGAAGGCTCTATGAAGGCATGGGATCATTTCACCCCACTGAGCTTTAAAGCAGTTAGTTCCCATTGCCCAGAATGGACTGGACTAATCTTAAACCATTTTTTCAAACACTGTTTATCCTGTAAGATCTACCATTCTGTACTTTCTTTACCTTGGGTTAGGATGGAAGATGAGATATTTAAGTATTTCTCTGTTTTATGAAGGAAGCTGAAATACAATTTTTCTAGACATGGTAGATCAAAATCTTTCCCCTGCAGAAATTCCATCAACTAAATGTTAAGCTCTGCTGTAGATGGGATTTGCAAAGATGTTTCCCTTAACCTCCCTGGCAAAGCTATATTTGCCTTTGCAAGTTCCAATGTGTTGTTTTTAATGCAGATCTACCATGACTTCCACTTTGTGGTGGCTTGATTTGGTTGGGTGCAGTAACAGGAACAAATGGAAGTGCTGATTTGCATGAGAAGCTGGAGATCCGTTCTAGCAAAGCTGCTCTGCCAGGGCAGCACCTCGGTGTGCTCAGCACCGGATCACATTAATCACAGGGTACTCAGCCAGCCTATTCAGCCTCCTACAGAAAATACAGAAGTACATTTTTAGCAGAAAAAAAGAACTGTGAGTATCCTTGTGACAGTGTACAGATTTCTCAGGGCTTTCTGGAAAGAAACTTGGACTTCTGCCACCTGCTCCGATTGTGTTCATGCATAAATGATCCAGAGAACGGGTTGACATTACCTCTAATTAGGGGTAATAACAGCCTGCTGCTGAAAGGGCCCGTTCCCTTTCTCCTGCATGTACATCCCTCACTTCTCCTGCTTTGGGTCTGGTGGTGCTGCAGCCACGGGGACAGTCAGTGCAGTGACCCGATCCGGCAGCAAACTCAGCCATTAAGAAAAAAAATAAATTTATTTCATTAGGTCAATCCAGTGAAGTTCTGCAGCCATTTGATCGGCGCGATGCACAGGCTGCAGAGGGCCGAGATGAAGGGAGAGGGCAGGACACACCCTTTTGGTGGCCTTCTGCAATTGCACGGGTCACAGGTGACAGCAAACCCCGGCCCTGAGCCCCGGCGTGACTTCAGAAGAACTCCTTGAAGCATTTCTAAGAGTTAATTAAGCATGGCTGACTCTTTTAGTTTCAGCTCACTCCGGAGTGGCAGTGTAGAGGTGTGTCATAATGAGTGATAGAGTTGGAAATAATTTATCGTGTTTAGTTTGTCCCTCAGATGGAGCTGTAAAATGGACAGCGAGGGGAAAGGGTGCACTGCTGTGGTCCTCGTGTTGATCCTTAATGCATTTTTTCTGTTTAACAATTTGATTTTTCTTTTCTATCTTACAGGAAAGGAATGTTTATTTCAAAGCTACAACACTGAGGCTTGGAATCTCAAAATGACACATGGGTCTGGTTTGGAAAAGGGCATGAGATGAAATGCCTTTGCTGATTCTCCAGGTCCTTTTCATACTGTTTCTCTGAATGAAATACAGACTCAGCAGAACCTCAGTGTTTAATGTTGTTGTATCTTTCAAAGCCCTTTCCAATAAACAGGAATAAGAGTGATGGACAGGAAAATAGAGGAACAGTGAGTTCAAAGAGTCTGTTTTAATACAATTATTTAGAAAGACACTTGAATCCTTGTCAGATGTATGTCTCTTGCAGGTGGTTCTTTTTTAGAGAAATCTGATTTTAGGGCACAGGTCAAGACCTAGTGCAGTAGTACTCTCTCATGATGTGACAGTTCAACCATAATTTTGCACAGAAACAAGAAGAAATTGTGAACAATCCACACTGGTTAAGTACATGTACATAAACATTGGTCATAGCTTATGAGCAGCAATGCAAAATATTTTTAAGTATATAATTCCAGAGGATAGAGACTTAAATGTTTTTCTGAGATGTGGAGGAAGTTCTAGTTACTGTTTTTGAGGGTTATCATATCTCCCAAGAAAAAAGTGATAAAAAATGATAAATCCCAATTGGTTTGCTCTTAGCCTCAGGCACCAGTGGGAGACATAGAGAATGTTGATTGTGGGGTGGTCTGTTCTGTTTTTTTTTGAGGAGGGGGTTAATAATTAAAGCACACCAAAGAAAGAGTAGTGTTTTATAATCACAGACTCATTTAAGTTGGGAAAAATTTTAGGATGATCAAGTATAACCACAAACCTAACACTGCCAAATTTTAACTTATGCTGGATTTCCACTCAAATGGATCCTACACAGCAGTACTGTCACCCAAAGAAGAGAAAGATTGTGGCCAAAATTCTGTGGAGTCTGTGATAGCACAGCCGAGGCTTTTATGGAAAGACTTAAGTTAAACTCATTCTTCTACTGAGGTGTTTTAATGCCCCTGTAGATAAAAATCTCACCCGAAGTTGTTTATAACAAGAGAGCTGTGTTTATTTCCTGAGAAGGAATGAGATCAAATCTACGGTACAGGCGATGCCTCTGAAGACTTCAAATCCTTACGATTATTTTTCTTGGATGTTTTCACTACATCTTTTTAAAAAGAATGCCTTGTACATGAAAAGCATCAAGTGACCTTGTTGGTATCGATTGTCGTTCCCTTTGTTGTGCTTAAGGAAGTGAAGGATCTTGCAAATCAGAAAGGTGTGAAGAACAAAGCAAAAATGTTAAAGACAATCTGCCGTGATTTTCCTACTTGTAAATAAGGTGGGAAATGTCAAAACAATACAAACTAACGATGCTTTTGATTGCTAATGGAACAAGTGTGGATTCATCTCCTAGGTGACCATCAATGTGCCTCTTAAGAGTAAAAGTATCCTTGTCGAGTACTATTTATATTGTTAAAGTCCTATTTTTCTTGAATACAAATTGATAGCAACAGGTTTGTTTCTTACATATCACTTAAGTCTCCTGATGCACAAATGTGATGTGGCACAAGCAATGTATTACCTCACCTTTTCAGAAATCACCTCCAGAACTCTGCCAAGCATTCACCAGGGAGTTCTGCTCTATGCCTCAATTTTCCCTCTGTAAAACACAGAAAAAATGAATTATGGTTTACAGGGTGTATGTGAACCTGGTAATAAAAAATCTTTCAACACTGGCATGTGTAGATGTTGAAATGTTCTGCTTAATCAACCTTATCAAGTGCTTGCTGATAAAGGCAGGCTTATCAAGAGCTCTGGGCCTACGAAATGTTGTGAAAAACCCGAACTACGTGACAAAGGGTTAGCTGGGGCAGTTTTAATTAGAAGAGAGGGTGGCTGTTCTAACCGGTCTGGATCCCTGGATCCACATGTTCTGTCCGGTCTGGACAGGTGTAGGTTGGATGTTGAAGCATTTTAGGACGGGGCACTAGAGAAGGAAGAGGCTGAGGCAGAGCTTTGTGCTTTGTTCTGAAGGACGTTCTGAGGGATCGGGTCCGCCCTGGGGAGTGCAGGCGCTCGGGCACTGGGCTGAGGGGCACAAACCCACCGGAAACTGCAGATTACTGTCAGCGGCACTCGGGCTGAGCTGCTCACCCGGGGAATGCGGCGGGGGCTCGGGGAGGGGTTCGGGCGGGGTTCGGCCCCACAGAGCCCCCGGGCCCTCAGCGCCCTCTGGGCCCGCGGCTCTCCCGCCGTGGCGCCCCCTGGCGGCGGGTGGCGCAGGGGGCACAGCGCCCGCTCGGGCTGAGGCTCGGGGCTGCCGGGAAGCGGCGGGGCGGGGCTGGGGGCGGGGCCTGGCGGCGCGGACCAATGGGAGGCGGCGGGGCGGGCCCGGGGCGGGGTGCGCAGGCTCGCGGGGCGCGCGGCGGGCGCGGCCCCGGGGCGGCAGAGCCGCGCTGCCGCCATGGGGTGTTAGCGCGGCCGGGCCCGCTCCGCCGGAAAGCGCCGCCACCGCCCGCCGGCCCCGCTCCGCCTCGCTCTGCTCCGCTCCGCTCCTCCGCCCCGAGCCCATGAGCCTGAACGAGCACTCGATGCAGGCGCTGTCCTGGCGGAAGCTCTACCTGAGCCGAGCCAAGCTGAAAGCCTCCAGCCGTACCTCCGCGCTGCTCTCCGGCTTCGCCATGGTGAGCGCCCGGCCTGGCGCGGCGGGCGGGGGGTGGCACGGGCCGGGAGCGCTGCCGCCGCTTCTGCTTCTCCCGCCGGCGCGTGCTGCGGTGAGCACGGGGAGCCCGGGCCCGGCGGGGAGCGGGGCGGGCGCTGCTGCTGCCGCCGCCCCGGAGCGCCCGGCCCGCCCCGCGCGGCGCTCCCGGCAGCTCGGCAGCTTCGGTAGCGCGTTTGTTTTGGAGCGCGTCCTGGCACGAGCTCAGAGCCGCCTCTTGGCTTTTATCTCCGCCAGATAATGCAAGATTTAGATGATTGTTACGTGTTTAGCCCGTGGAGGATGCTCGGGACCGCAGAAGCCGCGTGTGCCGTGGGCAGCTCGCTGGGTGCGCGGTCACCGCTCCGTGTTCCGGTGCCGGGAGCCGAGGGCCGCGCACGGAGCCCCGCACGCTGCTCCGCTTGCGGGGTTTCCATCCCGCTCCTCTCCCAGCGAGGGCAGGGGCAGCTGTTGCGCTGCAGCTGCTTCTAAATAAACCAAGTAATAACAGCCGATTAAAGTTTGTGATGCCGCTCAGGCTCATCCATCATCAGTCCTTTGCAGTTGCGAGGTTTCTAGTTTTTATTTAAGGAAAACTTGATTGTTACTTGGTTTGGAATTTAGTGCGTGGTTTAGAAACTTTTTTTTTAATTCGTATGTATTTTCTTTCGAGTTATATTTGAAGCGCAGTCTAGTTACCCGAATTGTGTCATATGCGAAAGTTCCGAATAATTTGAAATACAGTAACTCACAGACTTCCTCATCTGCCCAGACATCTGACATGCAAAGCTGCAAACTGCCCTCAGCCCCCTTTATGCAGCGGTTAAAAATGCTTCACGGCTTATAAATTCGCAATTTAACTCCTCTGACTTACTTTATTTTGATTTTTTTTGCCCCGCTGTTAACAAACCGAGTATTTTCAGCGGTTAAATCTGCTCCTTTCCAGAGCCATTGTTCCATTGATGCTGTTGGATAACACAGCAGCCTGCTGACGGTCAAATAAATGTCAGTGTCCTCCTTCACTGGCTAAAAACAGCGCGCAGCTCTGGGGAGGCGGCGGAGCGCTGCCCGTGACTGACGGGCGGCTCTGGTCGCGCTTCTCCTTGGGGAGCGCACCCGGCCGCAGCTCACACGCCGCTCTGATCGTGGCTTCTCCTTGCTGAGCTCCCGTTCTGCCTCTCGGAGCGGTTTGTGGCTGCTTGAGTCAGCTCTTTACATCGAGAGAGAACGTGGGGAAAAATCTGTTTGTTGGGGTTTATAAATTTTCCTCTAAGGGAGGTCGCATCTCAGTGTAAATGCTGTTGGTTTAAGGTTATACTTAACGTCTTGACTTCTTTGGTTTTTCTCTAATTATATGTTCTGTGGACTCAAAATCCGTGGAGGTATGAGGTGAGGCTTCTACTTGTTCCTTAATTCAGTTCTCTAGAATTCTAGGGGTTCAGTCTCCTGCTGTTGAAAACTGCTGCTTATGAATTTGTTGCTTAAGGTATTTCTGGAAATTTGTTCCAAGTAAGAAAATCCCTAATTGCCAGGAATGTTACATGTAAACGTTCATATTTAAGTTTTTCCAAAGAGAAAAATCCACTTATTTTTCTTCCCTTTAACAAGTTCAGCATGGAAATCCACCCGTAGTGTCTTTGCTTTTGCGCTGACAGACTTAGTCCCAGTCCTCTAGCTAAGACTTCCTAATCTTGGTTCAGAAGAGCTGAGTTAACTTTCGAGTATTTTTAGATGTCTTTTAAAAACTTTGCTGATCTTTTAGAGTTGTTCCTCTGCCTTGAAAAGCTGGGCTGTTCTGTCACCCTGTGCATTGTTTACTGACTGCAGTTCTTTGGCACCTGATACTCAAACTGCTGAAATACATTCTAGGCTTGGATCAGAGCTGGCAACAGAAATGCAGGGTCATTGTTCCTCTCCTTTCCTTATCAGGCAAGGAAGAAAGAGCTTAAGTGACACATCCAGGACCACCCAGTGAATTGATAGGAATTGTCAGAGGAGGAACGAGCTGGTTTCCATGCCAGCCCCATTGATCCTTGCTCTTTGATTAAAGAGTGCTTGCATCCTCGAGTCGAAGCTGAGTTTATCCCCGTTGAACTGCTCCCTTTCCATGGACTATTTTTATGTCTAGCTGCAGCCATTTTGCAAGGCTGATTCCCTCAGGATTGGTGATGTGCCCTGCTGGAATGAGGCATGCCAAAGGCATTGCTGGGGTCACTGAGGTGCAGTGTGAAACACTCAGCAGGTTTCAAACCCTGAAGTGTTGTTTCCTGAGAGAAGATTAAAAACCTGTTTTACAATAAGTTTTGCTTCAGAGCTTCGCATCAGGATTTGCTACCGTGTGTGAGCTTCAGAAACAGTTGCAGGGCCTGGTGATGGCAACTGGTGTGAGAGCTGAGCTCCCCCAGTGAACCTGAGCATTTCCTTCACTCAGGTTTCCATGGATGCTGTCATCCAGTGCCATATGTCTGAGGGAAAATCCATGAAGTTTATAACCTCATTTAGTACACTTTTCCAGTTTATGGAGCCAGCTAGTAGTATCAATCCCCCAAACTGTTAGAGGTAGAGAAAGAAATTATAGATTGTAGGGGATGTGTAGTGCATTAAAGAATGGAGGATTCATTCCATACACTGGTGGGGGCATCAGATATTTCTCACTTCTGTATTATAACCCAGATATTGGTTATAATTGGTTGCATGATCTTGCCTCTCATGCTTGGCCTTATCTGTTTTTATTTTTTACAGTGAAGAGCCTGCTGGCAGGTTATTTTTGTCTGAACAGTTATTCTGACTTGTTGGCATCATTTTGTCACCAAGGATGCATAACACAGTAGCATGACAATTGTACAATATGGGAATCAGAAACCATAGGAAAGTTGTTAAATGCCACTAGTTATAAAACCAGAGAACTCCACATCTCCTCCTGCCACCAATTAACAGCTTTGTGGAAATAACTGAGTCAGAACTATGGGTCTGAATTATACACTGTGGTTGGCTTCCTTATATGTAGGATTCAGAGGTTGATATTTACCAGCAAGCTGTTTTCTTTTAAATATCTCTATGGTCCAAGCTGGCTGGGCTTTGTCTGGATGGGATAGATATGCTTCAAATATTGAATATCATCAAAGAACTGTCAACTCTTGCCTTTGAAATATGGCCAGTATGGTCTCCTGAAGACAGCTTCAGTCATGTTCTGCAGAAGACTGACTGCAGAGATAAATATTTATGAAATTGATTTCCATAAAAACAGTTGGAGCTGAGGTAAGTTAGGTGTGACCTGGGGCCACTGGTGTCAGCTGTACAGGTGTCTTTGTCTAGTAAAGGTCACTTGGCTGTTCTAAATTCTAAAACAGTCTCTGTAGAAGTTTTTAAGTGGTATTTAGCTGGGTTGCTGGTAGAATAGCATGAAACAGTGGCATTTTGTAACCTGCAGGGAAGAGCTACAGGCCCAGTTTTGTGGCTTCTGCTTCCACTTAACCTTCTGTAACACTGCTGCACTTACAGGTTACAGCTGTGCTGGAGAATCTTCCCCATGCAAAAAGTTTCTTCTGTTCCAGTGACAAAATGAAAGTTTTGTGCCTCCTTTACCATCCCTGTCTCGGTTATAGATGAACAAGGCAGGCAGTGTGGAGTGTTTGGGCTCCTGCTGTTCTGCCTTGGAGCAGCTGTGGGTGGCTGCTGTAGTTTGGAGGATGTAAAGAGGATACTGAGCCTCTGGATAATCTGAACTTGTATTTACTGAATGGATTTGCTGTATGTTACACTGTGTAGAAGAATTACCTCCTCAAGATGCATTTGCTCCAATCACATGGGTATTGCCTTTTCATGTTTGCTAGCAAAATAAAATGAGATCCTGTATTTGTATTCCAGTGTCAGCATCAGCAAATATTAATGTGTTTTGCCATTCTGCAGCAAACAATAATCTGCAGAGTCGAAATCCTGGACTAATGGATGAATGATGCTTAGTTTCCCTTCTGTATGAAACCAGTAAATAAGATCATTATTTTGACTTATCTGCTTTTAATTTCCGGTGAGTTCTTCTGGCTCATACAGAGCCTCTGTATGAGTTGTTTATAACTCTTTATGAATGGTGCAGACAGTCTGTGAGAGCCTGGCTCTGTGCCTCTGTCTCTGGAGTGAATTGTACTGTCAGGAGAACAGGGAGCCAGCCAGAGGAGCTGATTCCCAGTGATGCTCTGACACTCAGCTCATTATTGAGTTTCCTCTGGGGTCCCACCCATAGACAAGCAATGATGGATGGGCCTCAAAAATGCAGTTGTGATGTTTGATCAACACAGCTTTCTTTTTAGCCATTCCTGACGTGCTAGACTGTACAAGATGAAGTCCCAGTTCAGGGTTATATTCCCACCAGCCCAAGCTCAGAGGCATCTTTGTGGGGAAGGGAAGGAAGTAAATGATAAATAATAGCTCATAGATAATACAGATTTACTTGAGATTAGGCATTTTGTTTCCTTTTCTCTACAGCACTGTCTACTGATCTGAAAAAGATGTAAGCCTGTGATTTTAATTTAAGAGCAGGAGCTTTATTTAAGCCCCTCTGGTCTAATAAGACATGGGAGCCTTATGAATAAGTAAGTGAAATGAACTTGGTCAGTATACTGAACTTGAATAGAAGTTGAAGTGCAGATTTTTCTAGAGGGCAAATTGTTAATTTTCCTGCAATATGGTTGTAATCAGGCTGCTGTGACTCTGAAATCCAGGACTGTTAAAGGCTTAACAGAGTTATGTGCCAAAATTCAGTTATCTTCTCAAAACATCTGAATGCCCAGCATTTTTAGGCTTATGAGAGATTCAGTCTTGTGTCCTGATGTCATGAGTCGTTTAGTTTTGTCAAGAAGCTGTACTTCAGATGTACAGCTTTGTCAAGAGCCGTAGTAAATCTGTCAGTCATATCTTTAGGATGATCTGAAGTTAAAGTTAGCTCTTCTTTGAAGCAGGGATTAGCCCAGATGACCTCCTGAGGTGTCTTCAGCCCACGTTACACTGTGATTACGCAGCAAGGCAGGGCACTTGCAGCTCAGCAGCTGCACGGTCAAATCCTGCAGCAAGTGTTCAGAGAAGCTTTGAAAGTGGTGCAGGATAAAGTGCTAAAAGTGTTGTATTGGAAAGTGTGCAGCCACTGACGACAGTTCCTGGCCTGAGCAGCTCCTCTGAACAAGCAGAGCAGGAACATGTCCTGCCTGCAACGTTGGCATGTACCTGTGAGTTCAGGCTTTGTGTGAATTTGGATGATATCAGGTGACCTCATCAGGGCCCTGTTCCTGCAGGTATTGCTTTACAAGAGCAGTTGTGATCTGTTTATTTTGAACTTGCAACATGAGCAAAGGAGGGAAGAACTTCTGACACTTGGTGTCTCTGTTAGAAAACAGGCACAGGCCCTCATGGTGAAAAATGAAACTTTTTGTTTTAGGTGCCTGGCTCAAGCTTGGCTCAGGAAGGAAACTCGGAGTTGAAAAGAGTTGGCAGTTTTTCTGCTAGTTTACATTGAAAGAGTTCCCAAGTTAGCTTTGCTGAGAGTTTGAGGAGACAGAAAACATGAACTGATTTTTTGCTTATGGGTCAGGCTGGGGTTACTCTGCCAGGCATGAACACAAGGAGCTCAAAATCAGATGCTTGATTTCATTAGTATGGAGGCGTTGATAAATGGAAATATCAAATGTCTTCAATGTTTGGCAAACTAAATACAATCAGTTCTTAAAATAAAATAAAGCCTTCATCTCGTGAAGCTCTTTAGTGCCATGTTTATGTTATACTCAGAACTAGGATGAAGGATTAAAGTGTCTTGTCATGCTGCATGGCTTCGAGTCTAGGCACAGCAGAAGACTTACAAGAAAAATCTTTAAGTATGAAAATGAATCCTCAGTGGTGAAGGATTGCAATTGTTCTGTGAAAAACACAGGAAGCCCAACATCCCACGAGTACAGTGAGACTTAACAAGCAATCCTGCAGAACAGAGACCTGACAAGCAAATGTTTATCCTCTCAATCATGAAGTTTCCCACAGCTGAAAAATGGTATTTTTAAATCCTCGAGCAAGGACTGTATATGCATTAATATAATTTCAGAACACTTGGAAACTGCTTGCTAGTTGGCTGGGTTGTTAGGCTAATGGCAATAAAAGCTTTCAATAAAGGAATTAAACAATTGGCAAACGGCCTTGAATGCCTGTTGGAACATGTCTGAGCAAAACCCTGGGTTGCCTTAATGTATTGGGAGCATTGGTGATTCAGAGTTCTGCTGTCCTGGAACATGGGTAAGGTGGGATCCAGGACTGGGTGAGCTTGGCTCAGCTCTTGCTAAATAGTGAGGGCTGAATGTTCCTGCTGCTTTTGCAGCTGTCTTTGAGCCCTGGTTTCCATGCCTCCCTGCACCTGGATTACCCATGGATCTTTCTGCCTATCAGCTTGATGTGCTTATATTTCAGATTACTGTCAGGTTTCTTCCTCTGCATTTTACCTGTATTTTGTCTGTTTAATGAATTTTTTTGAGAAAGAGCACTGAATGTAGGGACCTTTGTGCATTATTCTCTCTTTGGAACTATCCTTTGTCTGAAAGGCAAATTTATCAGGAAAGATCATTTCAGGAGAGCTGTTGGGATTAATGTCACTCATCAATTGCACATATGCACAAAACCACCTGGCAGTTTTAAAACCAGCAAAAAGGCATTCTAATTAATTTTATTTGTCAGAATTACTCCAGCTGGTTTTATGAGCTTCCTAGGGCTGTTATTTAATCTGATTTTTTTATTCCTTAGGCACAGGCATGCATGAGATCTAAGGTTACAAGAAGGTCATGGCTGCATGTGGTAGTGGAGGGCTGGAACATCTTCATGAGTAGCCTCATCTTTGGGGGAGCAGTGATGCCTGGGAGCATTGTGTTATCTTTTCTGGAGATGCCTTTCCTCCAGTCTCCAACAGGCTTGCTTGGCTGCCATGGGCATTTGGAGACTCAGATTTTGAGTCTGTGTTCCAGAGTCCATTTAAATACTTGAGTGAAAGAATATAGCTGAGAGCCCCGTGGAAAGGGGATCTTTCTCATGAAAGATTTCTGCACTTTAGAACTTAAACCCAAACATCCAAGGAGAAAGGACCACCGAGGTTGTTTCAGGCAGTCCCCTGCTTTCACAGCCTTTCACAGACACTTCAAATACTTCATAAGTAAAGATCAAAAGCTGTGTCTCTGATATAACACAAAAGAAGAAATATTTCACTTAGGGAGTCCAAGGATGCTTTGCTGGCATGAGCTGAAGGTGGCAAGGTGGTTGTGGGTTTGCTCTACAACAGAACAGTAAGTATGAAAACAGTGATCTTTGCTTGATGGCTCAGACCTAAATTTGGACCTAATGAAGAGGATGCAGATTGACATGAAGGAAATGTAAATACAGACTTACTTTGTTTTTATCAGATGATCTTCCAGAAACATGGTGTAAACTTTGAATAACCTTACAGTCAAATATTATAAGATGTAGGTAACTGCATCTCTCTCCCCCTTCCTTTTCAGGTGGCTATGGTGGAAGTTCAGCTTGACCCAGACCACGACTATCCTCAGGGGCTCTTGATAGCCTTCAGTGCCTGCACTACTGTGCTCGTTGCAGTTCACCTTTTTGCACTCATGATAAGTACCTGCATCCTGCCAAACATAGAGGCTGTTAGCAATGTGCATAACCTCAACTCTGTCAAGGAATCTCCTCACGAGCGCATGCACCGGCACATTGAGCTCGCCTGGGCCTTCTCCACTGTCATTGGGACTTTGCTCTTTCTTGCAGAAGTGGTGTTACTGTGCTGGGTCAAGTTCCTTCCTTTAAAGAAGAAAACTGACAACACCCCACAGAGCAACAGTTCTACCATCACATCAGGGCAGGCAGCAGCCATCGCATCCACGTCCATCATGGTGCCCTTTGGATTGATTTTCATTGTGTTTGCAGTCCACTTCTACCGGTCCCTGGTGAGCCACAAAACAGACAGGCAATTTCAGGAACTCAATGAACTTGCTGAATTTGCACGGCTCCAGGATCAACTGGATCACAGAGGTGATGCTGTCACCTCAGCTGTCACCAATTTTGTGTAAACCTGTGCTTAAGAAAATTAACCCACTCTTCTGCTTCTGCCTTATGGTGACTCCCTGTGGATGAACTGGTTGAACTGCTGATTACTGTTTAAAGAATAATTATAAATATTGTTCTAACCCTTTAGAGAGGGAAAAAATGTTCCTTTCATACAAGTTTTGCTATCTGAAGGAATGGATGGTGGGGTGTGATTGCACTGCATGTGCAGCCCTCCTCCTGTGAACACTGTCTCGCATCTTTCTCGTTAGTGCTGAATGGTGGCTGTATAAATACATGGAAAATAACATTGTACATTTGGGTATTTGTTAGGAATGGATAGAGAAGTTGTGGATTTTTTTTCTCTGTTTATCTGATGTTGGCATTTACTAGAAGATACTGCTTGTCCTATCCATATTGCATGGCATGATACAAATTACTTGGGACATGCAGCAATTAGCGCTCGGTTTCAGCGCTAGCGCTGCTCTCCCTGGAAAGCCTGACAGATGGTAGGAGTGAAAGCTTTCCCAGCACTTTCCCCAGTATGTTTTGCTGCCAAGTAATTATTACTTTGCTGATTTCTCCAGTGCCTTTTTCCCGTGGCACTTACACATTTTGTAACTTGCTAAACACCCAGGACTAAACTTACTGCGATGTGGTGTGGCCACATGAGTAGGAATGAGACTCGACTCTTCTCTTCCATGGAAGAAAATAAAAGCAATAACTGTTTTTTAAAGTTCTCATGAGCTGGCACATATTATCTGGAGAGATAGATTTGCCTGTTTCTCTTTGAAGAATCCTTTTTTAAAAAGAAGGAACTAGATGGAAATTATCACTGGATAATTTTTTTGCTTGAAAATCAGAACCACTGCTGTTTCTTTTCCAAGCCAAAGTAGTAATTATTTTATACTTTTATACTGAAAAAATATTTTTAATAGATCCTCAGAAACAAGCAGCAAAAGGTGCTTTCTCTGTGTTGGATTCCCAAGTAATTAGCTATGCCTTGGTCTTCCTTGTTTAGAAAAGTGTTCTCCTTGCTGACGTGTTGTATTTAATAACTCATTACACATTTTTGCTTCCAAAGGATCTGGAAGACAACTTGATGTATATTTATTTATGAAAGTAGGTTATTTGTAATTAATACTGCTGCTTTCTTTCGGACACCTCTGTGACAGCAAGGCTACTGTGTTCATTTCCTCTGAGCAAAACCCTCCATTTGATAAGAGGTTTGCCCAGGAAAGATTCCAGCAGTTGTCCTGGGCTGCTTCAGTAATTCTGGCTATGTCTAGGAGTTGAATTTTTTGGAGCACAGTTCTTCTGTAGAGTAGCTTTGGGCTTTCATGGGTAAAAGCTGTTTTTTGAACACAAACTGAGACAAGTTTCAAGCCAAAGGGGAAAAAAACCCCAACAAACTAGCTATCACTAGTCATAGCTATCCCTGTGGAATAGAACCCTGGGATTTTGCCATGAGACAGGAGGGACTGTGACAGTCCAGTGAACTGTGCCTGACAGCCTGGGCTGAACCTGGTCTCTCACACCAAGCTCCAGCTCAGGTTATTCCAACATATTTGCAATCTGCACCAAGTGCCTGTGGGGTTCAGGTGCAGTGTGGTTACTGCTGAAGCAGATGGGAGCTGATCTCTCCTGTCAGCAGCACTGCAGTGCAGAGTGTTGACAAGGTCACCTGTGGTGCCTTTGTATTCTAAAAACGTAACTATAAAAAAAAAGCAAAACAACCTGCTGGTCTCTTTGTTTTTTTTCAGCAGCAGTTGTGGTTCACAAGCAGCAAACAGCTTTCCACTTGGTGTTTTCACCTGTGAAGTGAAAGTCCTGGCATACAGAGGCCAAACTGGATTTTCTCAGCTCTGCCATTACATGCTCCAAATATATTCTATTCCTGATGTAAATCTGATGGTGAGGATTGTAGCTACAGAGTCACAGGTGTTTGTTCATGGAGCACTGGAAGCATTGCTTTAGTAAAGGCAGTAAGGAAGCAGCATTCCAAACCACAAAATGTATTTTCCCATCCAAGACAGAACTTTACCCATTCTGTCTTGGGAAAAGAGGCCCCTAAAATCCCCCACTAAATGAAGAAAACCCTGACCTGGTATTCACACCAGAGCAACTGATTGGAAGGGTGTGGTCAGGTGTAAAAATTGTACTTCTTTCTGTAAATTTTGTATTTAGAAGTTATATGGTTCTAAATGGAAGTCCAGAAAATCAGTTTTCTGAATTTATTTTGTAAAATTCCTTGCTGTTCTGGATAAGTAGCTGAATTTTTCTTTGATTTGTGGATCTTTTACAAAGTGACTAAGAAATGTGGGATTTTCTTGTTGTTTAAGACACACAGAATTAGAAGCTAGTGGGACATGGTTATTTTTAGTTTTCTCAAGCTGGTAGGCTCTGAGCTAATGGCACTGTTATTACAGCTAATTTTCTGACTATTTTCTGCACTTTAAGCCATGATATCAAGTATGTTTTTGTCGTTTTCCACCTGTGGAAATTATCATGAAAGTTACATCTTGGGTACCTTTGTCACTGTGTACCCAGGCAGTAACCAGACACAAACACATGGATCTAAACATTGAGTGCACTTAAAATTTTTTATCCCTTATTTATACTAACTATGGTGTTAGGCATTTACCTCAATAATTTTAAACATTGGTTATTGTATGTCACTTATTTGGGTATAAAATACTTTCATGAAATAAAATATACTCAATTGTTGTGGATTATTTTTTATCTAGAGGCCTAAAATATACTTATTAATTGAAACATGATCTGTTGTAACTTCAAAAGGCATTTGGGGTCACAGGTGTGTATTGGGCTATGTTTGGGGGGAGTGGAGAACACAATTACTTGATTGTACTTTTTTATAACCCTCCTTCTCTAAAACAAAGGCCTTGAAACCACCAGGAGTGTGATTTCTTAGCAGGAGGAATAAGAGGAGCTGAGCAAAGAGTCACTCTGCCTCTCTTCCATCCTTTTGGTGCTTGTCTTTTGGGTTTTCCCCATTAATTTTTTTCCCTTTCTTTTCCAAACTAACGGTGGTGGGAGGAGGCTACTGAGCAAAGCCACCTGCAGAGGGAAGTGTACCTGAGCAGCCTTGAGGGAAGGGTGAGGCTGAGACTGCAACACCAAAACCGCGGGGTGGGTTTGACACTCCAAGGAATAAATAACCCAGGATCGTGTTCTTGAATTTTTCTTTTTTTTTTCTTCAGCATCTGGTTATTCATTATGGCTGTCATCAAACATTGCCCGGGCCTCTGCTAAAACACCAGCTGGATCTTGTAGTTTAATCTAAATGAAAAGAATACAAATCAGTTATGCAGTGTAATTGAAGAAGCTTAAGGTTTTATAGACCTTAATTTCTTGAGCATTATTGAGTCTCCCATGTATCAGGACTTCAGCTCATATTGCAGTCTTTCAATTATTTAGAAACAACTACACTCCCCTAATTTTATTAGTGTGCTGAACATCGCTTTATCTCCTTGAAATAGCTCTGTGTGAGTGACTTTAACAAAACACACTCTTGGGCAAAAGTGGCTTTGATTTGCAGCCTGTTAGGCCTCACCTATAATTATAATAAAGGGGGTGGTGGTGACAAAAGTTTATGAAAACCTGAATTCAGTTTTTCTCCTTTTATCAATTACTTCATTTTCTGAGATCAACAGATCTCTACCCATTGAAAGCACAATAACAGCAGTGAAAGTTGATGCTTTGTTTTTGCTTATAGAGCAGAAGAGATTTGGATCATCACTTGGTCTTCAGGGAGTTAAATAAACAGCCAGACTTGCACATCCTGCCTTAGTGTACCAATAGTTCATCCCAGGCTATTGGATTGTTGAGGCTCTTCTCAGTGACCTTTGACAAACCACATATAGTAAATATTTTTAGCCACAGAAGTGCTGCTCCTTTCACTTTTCAAAACAGAGATTATTTTTCTCTGGTGGGTATTTGGGGCTTATTCTGCACTGCTGTGGGTGTGCCTGGTACTTACAGGATTAACTGGTTCATCAAAACTGTGCTCAAAGGGCCTTTGGCTATAGAAAGCAGATTTGAAAAGATAGAGGCAATGAAGATGTAAGAGCTGTGAGCTTTGGAAGGCTGCATGTGCCTGGTGTCACTTTGAACAGCCCTGTCCCTGTTCCAGAGGAAGGTGGGTGGGTTCCTGTGTTACTGGGGCAGTGCTGAGCTGTGATTATCCAGGGTGGTTCTGCTTGCCTCTAACTCAGGGGAAGCTGCCCCAGCCCATCCTGCACTGACCATTTTGTTTCACATCTGTGGTTTGCACACCATGAGGATTCAAGCTGAGACTCTTAGGGCCAGCTCTCACTTGGACTCACATTTGTTCACTGCTGATTCCCATCTCCTCTTCCTCCAAGGGCTCAGAGCTGGGGACAGGCTCTCCTGTCCACCAAAGTGTTGTGCAAGGACCCAGTGGCTGCCAGGCTGAAGGCCCAGTGTGTCTGTATCTCACCAGTGTGTCTCTGTGTCCCACCAGTGTGTCTCTGTGTCCCACCAGTGTGTCTGTGTCCCACCAGTGTGTCTTTGTGTCTCACCAAGACCTTGGGGTGGGGATAGGGCCTGGCTCTTCCTCTGCAGTGTGTGTCAATGGAGGAAAAGAGGAGCAGAGGCTGTGGGCTCTAGGACACCATCTGCCCCCCTTGGGCCCAGCTGGAAGCTGCACACACCCCTGTGCCCCCGGGGCTGCTGGGCACTGTGGTGAGCCCCTGACCTGGGGAAAGAGCTGCTGTTGGCCCTGCAGGGTCTGCTCAGCCTCAGCAGTTGGGCTTGGTGAAATCATCTGATCTTGACACAAATCCCACTATTGTCTGTGCCTCTATTGTCCCCATTTCCTTTGTGCTGCACCAGGTCTCTGAGCAGTTCTGGTGCATGGGAACTGTGTTTTTTCAGATGTAGGCAGGTGGGAGGCTCCAGCAGAGGCTGCATGAGCTGTTAGTCCCTATGGGGCCATTTAGGATGCTGCTGGCCAAAAGGCTCTGAGCACACACCCCATGGGGGAAATCTCTTGAGAAGTGAAATGCAACCTGGAGAGCTGACCCGAGCACTGATGAATACAAACACCAACATTTCCAAGCAATTACCTCTGGGAGTGGAAGCTCAGGAGGGGCTGGAGCCTCTTCTCTGCCAAATTCAACCAGAACTCCACACTTTGGTATATCTGCTACCCAGATGCCTTCTAGCAGCTGTCCCTTATCTGGGTAGAAGAATTTCCCTGGGCCATGCTTCTTGCCATCTTTCCAACCTCCATCGTACCGATTTCCATTTGCTGCAATTAAATACACGAACAGACCTTGAAATTTGCACCATTGTGTTAAGAGGTTACAAATTAAATCATCAACAGAGCAAACCAGCAGAGGAGAAGATCATGTGTTTGGCTCCTCTTAGTAATTTCAAGGTGGCTGTGGTGCTGTGTGTCATTTTGATTTTGCAGTGCTTCATTTGCTGTGCCACAGAGGGAGAAAATGCTGCAGAAGGAGCCCACCCTTGCTCACTTGGAACCAGGACTCTACTCAGCTGCTTTGTTCTCACAGTGATACTCATTTTTTGCTGACACAAGGAGCCAGTATGCTCAAGGTAAGGGATTGGTCCCTGGGTCACTCTTCACAACATGAAAAATTACAGGACACAAGTTTCAGATTTGTCACTGCAACACAGGATCTCTGGCTTGAAGAGGTTTGCTTGTCTGGGCAAGGAACAGAGCACTGATTGCTGTCCAGTCAAAATAATCTTGATTTCAAAGAATACTTTTAGTTAAGTTTTTCCTCAATGAATTACAGGGTGAGAATTGCTGCAAGAGTCTGAACGGTTCTGGCAGTCAGTTACAGGCTGTTTTTTCAGCTGTGCTGCTTCTCTTGGCATTTTTCTGCAAGTTGAGAGAGGCTTTTTTTGGGCTCTCTGCTGCTCTCTAGGAATCCACCCATCCATCACTAACAGGGAAAGCAGAGCTACAAGGGGAAGAGAGCAGCCTCATCTATGGATGCTGGTTGAAAAAAGGGCATCATACCCATGGTGATGCTGGGGGTTGGGACAGGTCCAGACCACCCTGCTGTCACTAGGAGAGTCCTCTGCTCACCCCTTTTCCTACATACAGTGTTTCTAAGTCCAAACCCATGGGGATTTCTAACCATGTTAGTGGAAATACCTTTGATTCTCAGCTGAACTCTGCCATTCTTCATCACAAGAAGTGGCTGAAACACCACACACAGTGCTGCAGAGATAACTGGGGCCTGCCAGGATGCTGTAAGGGAAGAGGGGAAACCCCAAAAGGCTTCTGGAGAATTTGGCTGCTGGGCTTCTCAGGCAGGGTCTGGTTTACAGGCTGGAGCCGTGGTGATGGTTATCTGCAACTTTGATCTGATTTTGTGCTTATCGGCAACACCAAGCTGCCTTGTCCAGGCTGGCAGCAGCTCGGCTTCTGCACTCCAGCCACCGAGTGAGAAACCACCAAAACCACAATCCTGGCTGCAAGGAGGGGGCAATGAACACCCTGAGCGCACTGCGGTGCCTGGCTGCTCCCATCTGCTCTCCTCCCAGAGCACCCGAGGCTGTGCTGCTCAGAACCACGACCCCTGTGGATGTGAAGTGCTCTGGTACAAAGCTGTTGGGGAACGGATGTGGCAGAGGCAGCAGATCAGTGCAGTGCTCCCAGCCAAGCTCACCCTCACTGGGCATGCTGCCACTACAAGCAATTTAATCTTGAGCTGCAGCTCATCGTGACCTCCACTGAAGAACTCCTTTTCTTTCACATGGCAGAGCTGCCGGCACGCGGGCGCACTTCCAGCAGCTGAGCTGAATGCATTAAGCTTGTGGGTATGAAATAATTGCTCTGGCTAATTTTAACCAAAAGGAATCCAGCTAACAATCAGTTGCAGGCTAGGCTGGAGGCAAGTGAGCTCTGAAATGGTGTATCAGCCACAGCTCAGCCTGCAGGGGCTGTTAGTTTAGAACTAACAGGGCCTTTGACAGGAACACGGCAGATCAGTGCAAGATTCCCCCTGGAAGCAGGTGCTGATTTCATCCAGATGAGCCATCGGTCCAAAGCGACTTTCCAGGCAGTGCAGGGAGCACAGTCATGCATGTGGTGTGCAGAGAAGGTCAGGCTCATTCCTCCCAGCTGCTTTGCTTAGCTAATTACTAGCCTTGAGATCACTTTCAAGCAAAAAAAAAGATAGAATAGATGAATAATAATATGGAGATAATGTTTATTCAGATGTTCTTGGAATGCCATGCCTGGTATTGCAGAGATTGTTTGGATTGTTTGCTTTGGGGGAAAATGCGTTAAACTCCAAGGAAAATAAGGAAAAAAAAATTAAATTTCTGTATTTACATTGAGATTGGCCCTAACATTCCCAATCCATGATGTACTTGGGGTTATTTATGGAAAAGGATTGTGTACTAATGAAACCCCTGTGTTCACTCAACACAAGCCACTGTCGGAAGTAGACAGAGGGGATGGAGTGGGCTCAAAAAGAAAACCATGTTGTTGTGGTTTTTTTCTTCTGCTGGAAACTGAACTCTTCTTTGGTATTCAGAGCTAGAAAGCCTGTCTGGCAAAGTGCCTGCCTTGAAAAGAGAGATTTGCTCTTCTCTGACCCAACAGTATATTATCTCTAACCCGAGCCATCCCAGTCATTTAAATGTAAATCACAGCAAAAGTAAGCTTTCATGCGTGTGGGCTTATGGGCTTGAGCAGCGCCGGCCCTTGCTCAGCCCGTGCTGCCTCCCGCTCCAGCCCAGGAGGGGAGGGATGGCACGGGACAGTGTCAGTCCTGCTGCAAGGCTGCAGCGTAGCACAGAAACCCGGCTGGCAGAGACACCCGGAGAGCAGCACGACCCCAAACAGCTCGGAGGGGACAGGGTGACTGAGGGTGGTCGGTACTCACGGAGCTGCAGCAGGCCCGGCCCGTTGGGCTGATCCATCAGCCACTGCCCCTCGTAGGTGGAGCCGTCCTTGTAGTGCATCTTTCCCCAGCCGCTCCGCACGCCGTTGCTCCACTCGCCCTCGTAGAGCTCCCCGTTGGGGTAAAAGAACGTCCCCCGGCCCTGGACAGCAGCACAGACATGGCTGGTTAGGAGCTGCTCTATTGAAAGGGGTCAGTGTTCAATTTTGGGACATCACTTTGATAGAATATTCCTTTATTTATTATTCTGACACATGGCTGCTGGCAGCCCAGCTCCAGGGCTGTTCTTGTGTTGAAGGAAATGAGATGTGGTAGTACAGGATTTTTTTTTTGGCAAACAGTTTTATTCCCTTGACAAAACCTTGGGTTTATATCTCAGTGTGTTATTATTGGCATGATTGCTGCTAATATTTAGCTAAAAGTGGATTTTACAAGTATATAAACCTGCCTGGGGAAAGGCAGCACTAAAGGATGTGTCTCTCATCAGGGGATTTCACGTCTTTCAACCTTGACCACGTTTCCAGCTCAGTGTGTGCCAGGCTGGGCAGCTCCTCCCCTTGTTGGTTTTACATGTATGTATGTTTGCCATTAGGAGAAGTCCTGAATTACCCCCTATGCCAGAGAGTGATACCAATAAGAAATATTTCCATATCACTAACACATTTTCCCATTGGAATAAAGTGTTCTTTTTTCTCTGAACAAATAATAAAACCAGTTCTGGAAACAACTGATTTTTCTGAGTATTAATTGTATTAAACTGCATGGATGTAAGGGGGAAACTTCTAAGAAGAAAACCCATCCCTAGTGATATTTGGATGTCATTATAAATCTTTCACCAAAGCTCAATTATGGAAAATCTAACCTTAAAGAACAGGAAGGGAAGCTCAGCTCCCTCCAAGAGACAGGAGCCATGGAGCCACACACCCATTAAAAGCGTTGGTGGAGATGAGTTTAATTTGAGAGCAGACACAAACACAAGATTTCCATTGGCAGATCCAAAAACGTTCCTACAAGGATTTTGCACGTTACATTGCAGTCACTTCTACCAGATGACTTTCCCATTATGTTCCTTTTAGGAAAAACTGATTAATACAGCAGGCCTAATTTCCAAAAGAACTCAAGTTATTTGCCTATTATCTGTAAAACTCCCAGAAGAAGGTGCATTTTCTGGCAGTGCTTATAATACAGGCTCCTCTGACTTGTTCAAGGACAAGAGTAGCGAAAGGGATGGGTGGGGAGGATTAAGAGACAGGATGTCAAACTTCCCATCGTGTTTGGCTGAGCTGCAGGTGAGTCTGAGCAGTGACCACTGCTCTGTGGCAGCTCAGGGCTGAGCCTGGTAACCAGCAGATGGCTGGGGATGAGTCCCTCTCCAGGAAGGAGATGGCACTCCCATAAAAATCTTGGATTTTTAGTCGTGACCATTCAATTCAGCCTCAGTATTGTGAAAGTTAATATTTTAAGTAATCTTCTTGCAAACGTGCACCCAACTCTTCCCCGTGTTTTGGGTCCCACTGCCTCGGTGCTGGCAGAAAATCTCACTTACACATCTTCTGTCATTTTCCCACCAGCCTGTGTACACCCTCTTGTATTCCTTGGTCTCTGGGTCAAGAATGCTGTATGCGCCATAACCGTCCCTCTTCCCAAACTTCCAGTCGCCGCTGTAAATTGCTCCTGTGCTCTTCCAAATCTGGGTGCCTTTGCCTGTTTAACAAACAACAGGAGTGACAGGGACACCATCATGGTTAGGAGGAGGGTGCTCAGGGCTGCCCTTGCTGCTCCATCCCAGGCACAAAGTCAGGCTTATGTCTGGGATTCAGTTTAGCTTCCCAAGTTGGAATCATCGTTAATCTTGATCAGGGGCTTCCTGTGTGGCCTCTGCTGAATGCAGAAATCTTTCCAAACCTCAGTTTACTGCTTGTAAACAAGTCTGTCCTGCTCTGGCTGCTCCTGCCTTGGACAGGGTCTCCTCCTGCTCTGTCCCCTGCAGCCCCTGCCACATCTTGGGAATAAATTAAGATTCCTGGAACCAAGTCAGAAGCTAAGAGAGCTCCAGGGACTGTGCAGCCAGGGCACATCCCAGTGCATGGAGCTGACTTCAGTTTGCTGTTACTTGGAAAGGATTTTTAAACATCTGTAGTAGAGATGTTTTGGGCAGTTGCCCCTGAGTGCATGCAAAAGCTCTTCAAGTTACCTACTAGAAATGTTTCTGCATTTTTGCATTACATATATCAAATATATATGTGTGTGTGTGTGTACATACAGTCCTACATGAATGCTCTTCCAGGAGCATATAGAGCACACAGCACCACTGACCACTTCCTACCCCTAGGAACCTTTGTAAGAACATCTAAGCTGCTATTTTTTCTCAAAATTATCTATCTTACCATGTCTCAAGTTGTCCAGCCATTCTCCAGTATACTGATCCCCATTTACAGCATAAACTGTGTGTCTTAATCCACATTTCTGGGCTTTCCTGTCCCATTCATAGAAGAGAGGGTCTCTAAGCCTCGGGTACTTTATGACGGGCATATTGCTGGTATCTGGAGAAAAAAACAAATTATTAGCAGCAATAAATTAGAAAGTACTAAGTCAGGTACAGGCAGAACAGTATTTGTGAGCCATGCACAGAGATGCAACAAACAGGAGGCAACTAAAGATACTGAAGTACAAACCAGCACTTTGTGAAAATGGGCTCATAGCATAGCCCAGCCTGTTAGGAAATGTTCAGTAAATCTCAGCAGGTCAGGTTTGTGGCAGGCATTGATTTCTGCATCTACCAGAGATCTTGGGGAGTGCAGGGAAAGGCACCTCCTCCATACAGCTGGTGGAATGGGTCAGGGAGTTGTCCAGTGTCCCTGAGGCCCACCCGGAGCTGGGACACTTCATACCCCAGCAGTAATGCAGCTCAGACTCCTTTGCTGCTAAAAACATCAGTCCTCCAGCTTCCTCATTAAAAAGGGTTGAAACCACAACATTTCCCTCTCCCAGGAGGCTGTGGGCTTGCCCAGGGTAGGCCAAGTGCCACCCCCCACACCAAGCTGCCAAGGAGGTGACTTCTGAGGTGACTTCACAGGTGAGGTGGGTTTAAAGCAGGAACAGCAGGCAGGGCATGGTGAGCACAGTGGGGGTGGTTCGGGTGTTGGAGGCCTGGAGGGAAAGGGTCAGTGTGGGGGAAGAGGAAGGAAAAGGAGATGTTTTGCCTCATAAATACAGAGGGCAATGGTGGAGTGCAGCATAGTGGTGATTGCTGAGCACTGCCAATGGAACTGCTGCTCAGCACAGTGGGAATTCGGCACAGACTCGGAGGTGAGAGTGGTCTCCTATAAACCATAAACAAAAGCCAAAAGGTGGCTGTAGAAACAAAAGCAAATTTCTGTAAACGCCGTTAACATCCAGAGCTCGGCTGGAGCCCGGCGGGGTGGGATGCTCTCCGATTTTGTCTCCTGGGCTCCCCCTTCTGTCCTGATCCGCTGGACTGAGCCATTTCGAGTGATTTTGCTGTGTCTGTGCTGCGGGTGCCAGGGAGCCCGGCAGGGGGAAAACCTGGGCCTTGGGAGGAGAGGGAGAAAGAAAGGTGCTCTAGGTCCTTGCTAGGAAATAAAAGCTAGAAATTCTAACTAAGAAAATACTGTTAGAGTTCAACCTCAGTTCTGCATTTTCCAGCTGTGGGAAATGGTAAACTACTATTTGGAAGGACAGCACTGCTGAATACAAGTACTTATGTGTTCAGAATGAGTCTTGGTTAGAGGACACCGAGGACAGCAACTGTCCCTCGGTATGGAGGAGTCACAGCCCACCACAGAAGATGTTTTTCCAGCAATGCAAACGCAGGATACACTGTGAGAGAACTGCTGAGTTCCTCCCTCACTTTTGAGTACTGCAGCTCCTGGAGAAGGGGGTCTTGCCAATATTTGCCAATGGCTGGCAACACTGTGCCACTCTTTGCTGGCTTGAGCCTGTCCTGCCCTCGCTGGAGAAGCAGAGGAGCCGAGCTACAGCAATCTGTACCCACCCTGACCCCGGCCATGACCTCTGAGCAGCTCATGCCTGAGACAAGCAGCCTCTTCTCTACCCCTGCCAGATGGGAGCATCGCTTTCCCACCAACACTTCCCACCACTTCTTTAACTCAAAGCTCAGGATTTACAAACCCCAGGGAGGATTCCCAGCTGCGGGGGCAGCCCCATCTGCTCGCCATGTCCTGCGAGGCACAGCCCGCGCAGAGCACCCGAGGTAATGCGGGCTGCCAGGAGCCGCCTTTATTTGCCCAATCCCCTTCTAAATGTACGTCAGCGATGCCAGGTTTGCGTAAGTGGTAACGCAGTCGGTGTTCGCCTCCCTGGATGTTTTCAGCCGCCCACTGCAGGGCGCGGGGAGCTGGCAGCGACAGGCGGGCGGTGCGGTCGCTCCGGTCGCAGCTCTCGGTGCGGAGGGCGAGGCGCGGCTGCTCCCGCGCGCCTCTGCCCAGCGCTTGGGGATGGGGCTCGCACAGACCCCGCGTCCCCCTCCAGCCTTCTCTGTGGCTTCTGTCGGGTCTCTGGTAAAAGGCAGCTTTGGTCTGCACGGCCTTGCTGGAAGCCTATTTTTTTTTCCATGGCTCTTTTCGGAACTTCAGAGCAATGAGGTGTAGCCACTTTTCTCCATCTTACATCTTAACTTAATGAAGAGCAAGGAGGGAAACACACGGGCTGCTGCCTGTCCCTGGCAGAACCCTGCCTGGCACCGCACCCCCGCGCACCCAGCCTGACTGCCCCGGCCCCGAGGGTGCCCCGGCCGAGCTCAGCCCTTGCCGTGACCCAGCACACGGCACTGCCCTGCAGCGGGGTCCCTCTGCCAGCACCCACCCCTCCCAGGGCGCTGTCAGCGAGCGGAATGCTCAGGGCGGCTGTTGCTGCTGCTCCCCAGAGGGGGCCGGGCAGGAGGGCAGCGGGGCGAACGGAAAGCCCCCAGCGCCCCAGCCCGGTTTGCAGAGCAGCCTGGAGCGCGGCCGCCGCTCTCCCGCCGCTCTCCCGCCGCCCCCGGTGCCGAGGGCCGGACCGGACACCGACCTGTGCTGGTGGCGGCTCGGGGCTGCCCGCGGCGGCGGGGTCGCCATAGCAACTCAGAGCCAACCTGCAGCGCTGAGGGCCCCGGCAGCGGCCCCGGGCGGACGGGGACGGGCTGGGACACGGCACCGCACGCTGCTCCCCTCCCGGAGCACCGGAGCCACACACAGCGCTGTGCGGATACGTGCCCCGAGCCCGGGATGCTCCAGCAGAATATAAAGTGCTAATAAACAACGAGCGCTTCACCTCTGGTTGGTTTTTCATACGCCCAGCAGCAGAAGGCTGGAAATGAAAGCACTGATTACAGCACCGATGAGTAACAAATAAATCAGCCTTGCAAATGTCAGGAGAAATAGGAGAGAGCCCCTGAAAATGCACATCAGCGGTCTTAAAGGAGAAATCTGAATAAACCTGACACTAATTCCCCCATCCATTACACTTCTTCCACAGCCATGGTGAGCAGGGATTGCCACTCTGGCCTTATGGGCGTCTGTAATCATCTTCCCTAATGGGTAATTGCCTGTGCACATTTCTGGTATCACACCACAGCTCTTGTACGACTCCCATGAGCCGAATGCATTTGATTCTCATCCTTTCACCACATTTTTTGTGCACACCTCTGCAGGCTGTGAGGTAAAAATGTTGAGGCAGGTGGGAAATCCTGTGATGAAACGAAGCAGCTGCCTGTGTAAAGATGAGATACAGCTCAGCCTTCCCTGATGGGTGTTCCTTTGTAATCTGAAATATCTGAGGCATTCAATGGGGCTTAAACGTTGTGTCCATGCTCAGGTAGGACAGAGAATGGATTTATTCCAAGTGTGAGTGTGACTAAAGACAAATATTCCATTTCCCATGGCACATGTAAGGGCCATGGGGTGAAAGGAGACAGTGCCACTGCCTGGGAAATCAGGTGGAGGAAAATGAAGTGGAGGGAAGGAAGAGCTGCTCCACAGACACCATGAGCTGGTGTGGAAATGATGGAGGGAGATCTGTACCAAGGGAAAACACACACAGGGAATTTCTTGTGTTACATTAGATGTACTGGAAGATGGCAGCTGCTAGCAGGCATTTCCAGGGACGTAGGAGAGGCAGAACTTAAAGGCTTCTTTAAGTAGGAAAAATAAGAGAGAGAAATCCATGGAAGCTGACTGAGTTAGGAAATACTTATACAAGAGAAAATGTCTCCTGTTATTAAAAATGAGATTAAGATATCCAGGAAGGATTTATTCACAGTTACTCATGTTAATGTGCTCTGGTTTGGGGCAGAGCCTAAGAATGACTGAAGACAATCATTCCTGTGTTCCACCATGGCCAGTTGTAGGGGCTGGAGCGAGGACAGAGGTTTGGGGAGGAAATAAAGAAATCCATGAGGGAGAAGAAAAAAATGCTTATTGCAGCCCAAAATCTACAGCTTGAAATTGCAACCAGAAATAGCCCTCTGGAAAAGCATTAACTATTATTTCAGCCCCTATATAGCACTGCACTTAATTGAGAGTTTGGCAATTAAAACAATTAGGTAATTCAGACCATTTTACTTGTCTGTTTTTAAAGGGCATGGGCTGCCTGAGGTTTTTGAACTGCAAGTCCAAACTATGTCACACCTAAACACAGCTTCTGCTAACCAGAAGTTACATACATATTTGAAAAGTAATATACATTTGAAAACAATAAAAACTTTAAAGAGTTAAAATATTTTAGCAACAAATTAAAATTCACAAATTGGGATCAAAAACTCTCTGCAAAAACCTCTGTATGTGGATATGACAGAGGGTACTGCCTCCATTTCTTGGTTGCTTATTTTAAATTCTTCTGCTCCTGGTTTTGTGTTTTTACTTCTGTGGTCCCAGAGTGGGTTATCAGCACCCTCACAGACACTCCTGCCCCTTCCAAGGAGGTTTCACAGATAATTTATCTAGGAAGAGGCTGTGTGTGATTCCCATCTTCAGTTTCCTTAGTTCAAATATAAACTTTTGAATCATACTTAATTATTTTGTCACTTGATAAGATCATTCTGTACCTTTTTTATTACAAGGGTACAGAGTGGGTAAATATAAACGTATTCTTACAAAAAAAGGACAAAATTAAACCAGCTTGAAGAGAAGTTGGTGATATTTGAAGTTTTATCAGAAAGTTCTTTTCACTCACTCAAATGAAATTTTACTCAGAAAATGTTGTTCCATTTTGAGAGAAGGAATCTCCTTAGTAAGTAGGAAGTGGGGAAATTTTTGTAAGGGGTGTCAGATATATCTAGAATATATAACTCAGTCAAAGGGTGAGATATAAACTCAAACTGACCCAAAAATGTCCTAACCAAACCTCTTCCTCTCCCAAGGGCAGCTGTTTCCAGGCACAACATTGAGGCCACTATGCAAAGTAGGGTCAAAACCTCAAACTATGATGTGCTAGGAGGAGAATTCAGGTTTTCCTTGTCACAATTCCCCTTTTCCAGCCTTGCCAGCCAAAAATAGGCTCCAAATACCCTTTTTGGCTGTTTTCTTTTCCTTGTTTCACTCTGACAGGCATTGGCCACTGACACCAAGGAGCAGCAGCAAAACCTTCACCAGGCAGTGCCAGGGCTCCAGTTCTGCTGCTGGTGCTGTTGCTGCTTTGGTTGTCTGGCAGTTGATTAAACCTTACAATTATTAAGACTGAAAGGAAGCTTTTCAATCTGTCCATGTAAACTATGCTGTAATTCAGCCCACAGCTCATTGCAGTGAACTCCACTTCCAGGCTGGACACACTGAGGAGCAAACCAAGCATTGGGAGTTTGTGCATGGAAACGTGCCCAGAAACACCTTTCTGCAGCAAGGTCCTCTGACAGATTATGCACTTTCTTTTTATTTTTTCCACTTTTAAGGGCAGGATTTTAAAAATCATTAATTAAAAAAAAATAATATATATATATATAGCCCAAGGCCTTCAGTATTCTACATCAGAAACCAATCATTTTTGCACTGAAAGGAGACAGCTGCTCCAAGCTGAGTTTGCTTGCACTAAGCTTGGGGAATCACCCAAGTGAAATGTCCAAACCAACTGAAAACTGTCAGAATCAATAAATTAAATTTATTCTGGGAACTTCGTAGAATAAATAGAGAAAAAGCATTTAGGGAAACATATGTTGGAATTCTTTAAAGGTGAAGAGTGTGACAACAACATACTGTGGAAGTGGGATGCTCAGATGTGTGTTTTATTGCTGCTATATTCGAAAGAAAAGCCAGGGAAGAGGTGGGAGGGTCTTGGACTCCAACCAAGCCCGTTTTGGTGAGCTGAAGGAGCATCCCCAGCACTCTGCTCTAAAGAATTGTCATTAGCAGGATTTAGGAGGGATTGAAGTGAAATGTTTGAAGTGTAAACTTCACCTGGTGCCTCTGGCTTAAGAGGCAGCCTTGTGGGAAAGCATTTAAAATTCTTCCCTCCTTTTTGCTGGGAGCAGTTCTCTCAAGATAAAAACCACGTTGGTTTTACATCAAAACAACCTAAAGTTAAAGCCCTGGGTTATCTGGGATGTTCAGGCACTTAGATAGTCATGCAGACTGAAAGGCTGGAGTCCTGGGAGCTGACACCAGATACCCTCTCCCCACGAGCTCCTGCTGCTGCCGATTTACAGCTCTTGGTCTCTGCTGAACTACCTGCAACAGGGCAGAGGTTTAAAGGTAAATCATGGTGTTAATTCCTGAAGTCACTCAAAGCTGAGAGTTATTTCCTGACCACGGAGTGCTTTGCAAGACTCTTAATATCATTGGAGGCAGATAAATTTGGCCATACTTGAGCTAATGCCTCACTTCAAATCCTTAATTTATTCCTTAATTGAGGGATAAATCCAGATGAATACAAGATGAATCAGCAGTACGAATCTCCAGCTGAAACATGTGCCAAGTATTTTATTTATCACGGCTTATTGTCACCTGATGTCAGAATAGGGACTCATCTGCATTTAGATTTTGTCCTTTCTCCTTTGCTGTGCTGGAAAGAATCTGCATTTCTAAGACAGGGGAAAAGCATCAAAGGAAACAGCCTCAATTATCTTAAGAGGAAAGAATGAATGGAATTTGCATTCAGGAATAGACTGGAGGGTGAAGGAAAGGAGCTCACATGTGATTGTACAGATATATAACCATGTGTACTCAAACAAAATCCAACACCCAGAGAACAAACAGCCACAATTTCTCTGTGATCCTCAACTTGATTTATGAACTCCATTTCTTAGACACGTTTTCTGGCAGTGAAAGGTTGGTGAGCTGGGGATTAATTAAGGTAAAGGCAAGCCAGAGATTCCATGTTTGCAAATTTGCTGTGCAATGGCCTTAGGTGATCTCTGACAGCAGAACACAGCCATTAAAACTTGCAAGATGCCGTGAAAAATGATCATAAAATATTGAAATTCAGAGGAAAAGCAGCAATCCTCATGTGTTGCCACAAGTGAAGGATAAGTGAGGTGTGGGAGCATCAGCTGCACAGAGCCCTGCTCCCCACCCAGGGCTGAGGGGACCACTGCTACCTCAGCTTGCTTTGGTTCCATTCACAAAGATGGGATTGAAATAATGAGATTATACCAACAGCTACAGCCTCCCAGGGTGGGGAGAGCTTACAGGTAATTCTGAACTATTTTATAATAGTGCAAAGTTAAATAATGCAGAGCCAGCTGTAAGGCCAGCCCTGCTACACTCACAATGTTTGTGCTTAACTAAATGCTTTTGGGGTTTCTGTTTGAAAGAAAATGCAGATCTCTTGAATGAATATTAATTAGCATGGTGTAGTTAAAAAGTTGAAAGAAATCTTTTGGGGTAATCATTATGCACAGCCACAACATGTGTGAGAATTGTTCCTTGTCCAGAGGTGTAGGGGAGAGGTGGGAAAGTTTGGGATAAATCCCTTGTGTTCTGGGAGAGCTCTGTAGCCAGCCCAGCAGGGCTCTGAGTGGGAAATGCACAACATTTCCTGCCTTTGTATGTGAAACTCACACCACAGCCCTGACTAAATGTCATCAGCCCGCAGAATTCCAGCCCAGGACAAATATTCATATCTGATAAGAGTTTCCTTTTGCTCTTTGAGGCTTACAGACCAGCAGTGAAAGGAATACTTTAAGGGCTATTGACAATTTATGATGTCTTCTAAAAACACCTTTTCCTGAACTGACACAAGCAATCCTACAAATGTTGAAATGTTTTTACTTTCTGGATTCCAGATCTGTAGGAGGGTGTCAGCACCCCAGCCTCAGCAGCAAGGGGTAAGATGCAGCTACATCTCAGGGGTGGTGATAAACTGAGCTGACAGAGAACTGCAAAGGTGGAGGGAATGTTTTCATGTGGGAAGGAAAAATAACTTTGCTGGCAGGGAATATTCCAACCTTGTGGTGAACTGGAAAGTTCTGGCACGGGTCCAGCGCAGAGTTAATGCTCCGGTCTCAGATGTGATCCTCCTTCCTCCAAAGTAATCCAAAATCCAGGCCTCCTGCAACACACAGTCCTGTCACATAGGATTGTGGACAAATGCTAGAATCCAGGCAAATTTAATACAGACATAACAAATTGCTGTGACATTTCTATTATGTTGGTTAGTTTATTTTTCTACTTCAAGATTACCAAGACCTGCCACAACACGTGTTTGATCTCTGCACAATCATGGCCTCACTGGAGAAGCAGCAGGGACAATGCAACATCCCTGGGGTTGGTGGTTCTTAAACCAGCAGAAATCCCAAACCACTGCAAGTTCTGAGAGGGTTTCTCTGGAAACTGAATGCAGCTCATCAACGGCATTTCAGGTGTCCACCCACAAATGTATGAAAAAAATATACAAAATCAAACAGTGGACCTAGAAAAGGACCAGGGACGGCAGAACACGGAGGAGTGTCTCTACACCCAAGGTTTTTGGTTGTTTACATGAAATTCAAGGAAACGGGATCCTACATACACTCCTCATGAAAAGACAGCATTGCAATTGTGTTTTTACTTCACTCCTCCCCTCCCCTCTCCTCTCTCTTGTATCTTTTTTTTTATTGCTTCCTTCCCCTCCCCTTTTCTTCCTCTTTGCCAATTTCTACCCTTGCATCATAAGGAACTCGCAACTCACAGGATATGGTGTCAACATTTACAACTCTTCCCACCCTGCCCCAGAACATCAGGCCCAGGTCACAAGTGGCCAGTCCAGCTGCTGAATGGGTAATTATAGTAAAAATAAAGACATCAGGAATCCCCTTGTCATCTTCTGTGACACCAAGGACCTGTGACCAAGGCCCAGGTACTGCAGGGCTGAGCTGCCTGATTCAGCCCCCAGGTCTCTCTGAGGGGCAGCCCTGTACAATGGAGGGTTTTATCTGCACTCTCAGCTCCGTGTGTGCCCTGAAAGGGCAGGAAGATGCTTCCATGTCACACCATGGAGCACTTCAGGTGCTGCCACAACACAGGGCTCAGGAGAGGGGCAGGGCCTCCAGGAGGTGACCGGGACAGGGCGGGTGACAGCAGCCGAGGGGACCCCGCCATCTGAGGGGAACACAGGCCTGACGGGGGCTGCGCCTGATGGGACCATCACGGGAGGGGATCGCGGGCCTGAGCAGGGCCGTCACAGGAGGGGAGCCCGCACCTGAGGGGAGCCTTGGTCTGAGGGGAGCCTTGGTCTGAGGGGAATCTCCGGCCTCGGGGGCTCTGTGGCCCGAGGCGAGCCCAGCCCGGAGCGCTCCCTCACCTGACGGGTCCCTCCCCTGAGGCGGGCGGGGGGGGGCGGGGGCGGGGCCGCGCCCATGACCGCGCGCGATGACGTCAGCGGCGCACGCGGCGCGCGGGCCCGGGAGTGCGGGCGGCGGGCGCGCGCCGGGGCCCGGGGAGCGGGCGCGGCCCCGCGGCCATGCGGGAGCAGCTGGAGCGGAGCCTCGGCGAGTGGCGGGAGCTGGAGGAGGAGTTCCGGCAGCTCCAGGTGAGCGGCGGGGGGCGGCGGGGCATCGCGGTGCCTCCCCCGCCTGCGCGGACGCGGCTTCCCCCGCGCTGCCCCGCGCTACCCTTGCCGGTTCTGCTTCGCATCGCGGTGCGGAGCCGGCCTCGGCTCGCCCCGCCCGGTAGGAGCGGGACCGGGGCTCCCCACGGCCGGCCGCATCCCCGGGGCCGGAGGTGTGGGAGGGCTCCCCCAGCCCTCGCCGGGAGCGGGGATCCCGAGCATCCCTCCCTGCACGGCCCCGCACACAGCCCGGGTCCCGCTCCCCCGAGCCCTGGCCGTGCTCCCGGTCCCTCTGGGGATGCACCGCGATGCGGTGCCCCGGTTCCCGGTGCTGGAGGAAGGATGGGAGAAGGGGACGCGGTGCGGTTGTGCTGCAAAGAGCAGCGCGGGCAGCGCCTGTCCCGCCAGCAGCTCCTGGCCGGGTCTGATCTCCCGTGGTGGGATAGGCCGGGTCCAAGCGCTGTTTTTCCATCTTGCAAAAGTGCATTGAGGGACGGAAATGCCTCGGAGTGGGGGCCAAGAGCTGTTCTACAAGATGCTCTTACCTCCAGAAACCTTCCCTTCCTTCCCTGCTTGTCATCAGTGCTGCACCTATACACGTGCTTAAAATCTTAAAGCCAGTTTTAAAGTACGACAGGCTGTTCTCACTCTGGAGGCTGTTTTAGCCTCTTTTAGACTGTTAAACAGAACGTGCATGCAAAAAAAAAGTGTGATCTCCACATTTAGCTTGTTTCTTAATTAAAACTCAGTTCAGGTTGTACTCCTGTTAGCAGAAACGAGGGTTGGGTGCTGGGGGAGCCCATCTGGAGTGGTTTTGTTGGTCACTTGTTTGCTGTGTGCGCCTTCTTGACAAACTCCCTGCCTTCGTCTGACCTAAACCACAGGAAATGTCAGTGATTGTCCCTGCCTCAGTTTCCCCACCTGGAAAAGGAAAGTAGAAACACTTTTTGGTGGGGTGGCAGCAGCTGGTGGTCGAGGTGTGAGGGTTAGTGCTGTAGAGGTGTGCTCAGCTAAACCAAATGAGCCTCAGTGAGAGCTGCAGTGCCTGTACGGGGTTAGTTTGGTTATTAAGGTCTTTACATCAGACACTGGAGCTTGTTTTGGATTGTTCTTGTAAATAAAGAATAGCTACCAGGTGGGTCCTAGCAAGGAGGAGAGCAAAGGTTTGGTTTGTGTGGCTTCACCACCATGTTTATGCTCTGGGAAGAGCAGTGGGAATTTCCTGTGGTTCTTGGTGTTGGTAGGTGAAGCAGCCGTGTAACCCACACTGTCTTGGCACCAACTCTACAAACTCTGTTTTCCAATTTATTATAGGTCTTCAAATTGGCTCAGAGGTCATTGCTTGGTGCTTGGAGAGCCCTTCCTGAGACCTCCCTCATGGGGAAAGGGGTGAAATCCTTGCAAAGGGTGGAAAAGCAGAGCTAAGGGCAGGGAGGGGTGAGAGCAGAGTTTCCTCTCAATGGGTTTGCAGTTGGTGAGCGTGTCCTCGTTATGGCTGAGCACTAACTGGGGGCTTCAGGGGACCAATGAGCTGTGATAAAGCAGTTCCTCCCAGGGAGCATCTGAGGCCACAGGCAGGGACATCAGTTCAGCTCTTTAAACCAGAATATGGGGCAGTAGGTTGCTTGAATATCCGTGGGGTTGGGATGGCAGTGATGGCCAGAGGTGCCTAAACCCTCAGCCATGGATTTATGCCTGGTGCTGCCTTTCCCTTCCCTCCCCCACTCTGTTAGGTCCTCACTTATTTTCTCCAAGATTTAATCTGGCTGTGAAATTGGAGTGCCTGCTCTGTGATTTAGCCACCATTTGATGGGCATGGATCAGGATCAAATGGAGGATTAGGGGATTCAAGGATTAGGGGCTTCATTGCAGGGTGGGATGGCAGTGAGAAGCTCCTGAGTGGGAAAGCTCTTTAAAGAGACAATGAGATGAGTGTAGAGGATGCTTTTCCTCTTGCAGGAATGCCATCAGTGTCCATTTAAGCCCTTGTAGCTGTACTGGTTTGGCATCGTTCCCTTGTTGCTTGTTAAAGGGGTGCCTGTTGTATCCCATAAAACCAGGATTTTCCTAGTTTCCCTTGGAGGTGAGGGACAAATGCCATGAATAACTTAGGAGGGCTCTTCCTACCAACCACCTCCTCTTCTCCTGCAGGAAACACACAAAGTTTACAGGCAGAAACTGGAAGAAGTCACCAGCTTGCAGACAGCCTGCAGCAGCTCCATACAGCGGCAGAAGAAGACACTGAGGGACCTGAAGCACAGCCTGCAGCGGTAACAGGAGGGTGGGATGGGATGGGATAGTTCTCCTTCCCAAGGGCTGAAATGCTTGGATTGTCTTTTACTAGACAATCTATATTGCAGTGCTAAAGTTGTTCCATATTACAGCCAAGTAATTGTTCATTACTGCATGAGAGAGGGAGCCCTGTGAATAAAGACATTTAAGGGAGCTGCTGTGGGTTTCTTCCTTGCAGTGCTTGCTGTGCATTGCAGGGCTGTGCAGCTTTTGGCTGTGCCAGGTGAGCAATGCTTTGCTCTGTAACTGCCCTGGAAGAGCAACATCAGCCCTTGAACCTGAAGGTGTGACTTGCTCCTGGGTGGATTTAGAGGAGGGAACTGTCTCTGGCTGCCTGGCTGAGCCATGGGCTGAATTCCTTGTGTGCAGCACCTCTGACACCACAGGCTGCTGGCTCTGCTGCTCATTGCTCCCTGGTTAACATTAATTACTAAAACCACAGTTTGTCAGTAAATCATCAGCTCTGTGTCCTGTTAGATCCTGAAATACTTCATACCTGAAGAGCTGCAGCCTCTGCAAGGGCAGTGCCTGAAACCATGCACGGAGTTCCCAGGGTGGAGAGAATTCCTTCAGAAAAACAAAATATTCCCATGCAATCCTGTCACTGAGCTGATGGAAAGAGAAGCTGATTTATAAACCAACTGGTTGAAGTAACCTACAGCAACATAAACCTGGCAGTGAAATAAAGTCGTGATAAGCCAAATGGTTCCTCAGAAATACAGGAGCAAAGCATCAGTTCCCAGAGCCAGCTTTTTAACAGCCTGGATTTTATGACAACATTATTTTCCTTCAAATAAAAAGGAGGTGAAAACACGAACAGGAATATCTTGTTTCTGTGTTCTTGCAGGTGCAAGCCCAGAGCGAGTCCTGAGGAGTTTGCTCTCATTCAGGAGATCAGCAGGCAGATCAAGGAGAGGCAGAATGCCTTCTTTGACATGGAAGCCTACCTGCCCAAGAGGAATGGGTATGTGCTCCACCAGGAAGGCTTGTGTGCTCCAGGAATTTTGGATTTTAAATGTTCACAGCAAAGCTCTTTGTTCCCGAAGGAAAAGGTTGAAGAAAGACATGTAAAATTGGATTAGTCATAAATCTCTTGCTGAGCTGCTGTGTCAGTTGTACACAGAATTCATTAACTGTGAGTGGATGTAAATGTGTGTGGGCAGTGCAGGTTTTCTGTTAAAATGACAGTAACCTGCACTGGCAAGGGATTGTGCAGCTCACTGTTCCACACTGATATTTTCCTGGGCTAATTTTTTTGAGGGCTGAATCAGGACAAGACTTTTCTCTTTTTAAAATAATATTTTTAACCAACTTTAACTTTTGCTTCAAGCAGGGTTGCTAGGACAGGATTATATCAGTTGTCAAGGACTGTGTGATGCTGCAACCCCTCAGAAGTTTCTAACATAAACTTTTCTTCCAAATCCTCCCTGTGTTTGGGCTTGGCCAGTGCACGCTGCATATATCGCCCTTAGACTGTAGTGCAAAAAAGGGACCAGGAAAATGAGGCTTTTCAGTAACTTCTGGGAAGTGCTGACCAATATTTCCATGTGTAAAGCCTTTTCTGTGGTCTTTCCCTCCAGTTTGTATTAACTAAAAATGTCCAGCAAATGTGGCTTTGGCAGAGCCACTGTCTCATCACCTCGCTCTAGATCATCCTGTGGTGTTCAAATAAAACAACTTACTTGGGTCTGCTCTTGGCTTTTGTCTTCCAGCCTGTACTTAAATCTGGTGCTGGGAAATGTGAATGTCACTCTCCTGAGCAACCAGGCAAAGTGAGTGAGCCTCCCCACGTGTGTGAGTTTGGGTTTCTCTGGGGCCAGCTGTGGGTGTGGGCTGGAGCCCAGAGAGGGAATGGGTTTCTCTTAGACCTGATAAGTGAAATCTTGAGGGTGGGTGACTGGACTATGACATGGGGATGAGCTGACATCTTATGTAGCTCCAATTAATTCCATTTATTGCTTGCTTTTAAGCCCAGCTCAGCCTGTAGCCTTAATTGTAAAAGTGTTTGGAGTTTTTTTGTGCTGAAAAATGGTGCTGTGACTTCTAGGCATACAGTGCTCCAGAAAATGGAGATATATATGTATATATATATGTATTTTTAAAATCTTGTCATGCCATCCCAGAAACCAGCTCTGATGGACTTAGGGCATTGTGTTGCAGCTGAGACAGACCCTCCCTGCAGGCAGAACCTTTCACCACTGTCCACTGCTTTTCTAATGGCTTCAGCAAAACCTCTGTCTCTGGGCTTGGTATTTGGCTTTGTATGTGGCATGAAAAGGTGAAGCCACATTCCAGTCAAACATCTGTTTGTGTCCACAACTGGCACCTGTTCCCTTCCAGGTTTGCATACAAGGACGAGTATGAGAAGTTCAAACTTTATCTGACAATAATCTTGTTACTGGGGGCTGTTGCCTGCAGGTGTTTTCTCCACTACAGGTAAGATACATTTTTATTTCTTATCAAGCGTTTTGCATAAAATTGTGCTGGGTTTGACTTATCTTATGCACTGTTAAGGGCAGTGAGACAGCTCAGGTGCTGTTTAGGCTTTGAGCAGTTGGGCAGCAGGACACCTGCTCTTCTTCAACTCTGGCAGGAGCTGTATTTTAGCCAGTTGTTTTTCCTTTTTAAAAGGAAAGTCCAACATCACGTTTCCTGATGATGCTAAAAATTGATGTTGTTATTCTGGCATCGTGCTGTCATTGGGAACAAACTGCTGGTTGTGCTTTTGGGCTGTCCCAGGCAGGGACCAACACTGTGCTGCAGCTCTGGGTAACAAAAGCAACAAATCAGACTTGAAACATTACCTCTAGGTTGTGATAAAGTGTCTGAGCACCAACAAGCTTCCATTATTCATTTTGCTTAAAAACCAGAAAGGTGTTGGAGCCACGCACTTCCACTCTGTGTGTCTGAATGAATGCAGGACTGTACCAGGAGTGATGCTGCCCTATACAGAGGCTGCCCCAAGTCCCCTTGGCTTCAGGAGTTTGCAAATGGCAAAATAAAGTTTTGGTGTTTTGCTCCAGAGCATAATGCTCTTCCATTCTTTTAGTTGATTGGATTGATATGGATCTCATGGAATCTCCTCATTGAATTAGCGTGGACAGGCCTCTCTAAATTGGATCATCTGCTGCTTCTGTGGTGCTTTCTCTCCTTGAGCAGCACTTAATGTCATCCCTGCATACCTGCTTATCAGCTCAGGATCTGCAGTGTTGGATCCCAGGGTAGAAGGGGCTGGAGCCTGGCAGTGCTGGGCGTGTGTGCTGTGCTGCTTGTGGGTTACAGATGTTCAGGATGGGACTTTGTGTCCATATCCTCACTTGGGCAGGTTTTCATCTAGGAAAAATCGTGGTTTTTAAAATGTGTCTTTATAATTAACAAGAGGGTTTTTTACTGTGTGTTTTTTGTGTTTAACAGGGTGACAGATGAAGTGTTTAACTTTCTGTTGGTGTGGTATTACTGCACGCTGACGATACGGGAGAGCATTCTCATTAGCAATGGCTCAAGGTACAGTGCCACCTGCACAGCCATGAAAGCATGGAATGTCCTTAGGGAAAACCAGGTAGCAAAAGGGGATTCAGCCTGGCACTGAAGCCCAGCAAATCCGAGATGCTGATGGCCTCTCTGCAGAGTCTTGGCTCTCTCCTCCTCCCTGGTCACCTGAGGTTTGGGGAGAGAGCAGCTGCAGTTCCTGAGAGTCCCCAAGTTATAGGTGCAATGTGTTGGCTGGGTTTGGTAGCTGTAGGTTGTAGATGGTCTGGGGTGTGTGTGTTGCCTTGTGCTAGAGGTCACACTTCTTTGGTTGGAAATGCCACAGCATCCCTTGTGCTTGATTTGGGGCATCTACTTTGTTGCCATTTTTGGATCATTTTTTGCCTGTAAGGCTGGACTTAATGCTGAAATCCATGTTTCTTGTCTAACTGCCATGTTTTTTACTGCTCAGGATCAAAGGCTGGTGGGTGTCTCATCACTATGTTTCCACGTTCCTCTCTGGAGTGATGTTAACGTGGTGAGTCTGCTCCTGCCTGCTCGAGGTGCTTCAAGCCTGTTTCATGGTGTTTACATCCTCTGAGCATTTAAATCCAGTGTGACCATGAAGCTGTGGCCACAGGACATATGGCAGCGTGTCAGCCTTAATATTTGTTTGATGTTACAGATGTTTTCAATGATAAATACAATACTGTAAGTTTGTATTTACATTGCTGGTTAAAAAAAAAAGGAAAGAAATGCAAACCCTGTGGCTGTAGTTGGGCTGAGGATAGCAAAATCTGTGCAAGTCTCCCAGTTTCTGTCTCTGTACTTAAGGAAACAAGCAGCATGTTGCTATAGAGGAAGGACACCACAAAATGGATGTTTGGTGCCTTTACTGAGCCTTGATTAGAGAGTTTAAAGCCAAAAATTCAAGTTACCCCCTTGCAATGGGTGCTGGTCAGACAACCCACAAAATGCACTCCCTATGCAGCCTGTCTCAACTTGGGCATGAACTGATGAGTTAATAATTAAAAATTGTTTTAAAACAACAGATGCTTCTGCCCTGAATCTGTAAGGGCCTGACAGTGGCTGGGGCAGGCAGTCCTTGCCCTCCATCTATCCTGAACTGCCCTCAGGATAAGCAGCACAACCACCCCTGTTGCAGTGCTGGGATTCTTGGTGCAGATGATGCTGAATGATTTTGCTGCCTGGAGAAAACTGATTAAGGATGAGAGGGGACAGCATTTATCCTTGTATGAGAGGGGAAACCTAATCAATGAGAGCACTTCCTGTGGTTGTAGCACCTCTCAGGGCTCCCAGTGGGTGGAATGGGCTGGGCACCAGCTGCTGGTTGGTTTGCTAATGGCATCAGGCCTGGTGGAGAAGGGGAAGGGGTGGATGCATTGAAGGCTTTTAGCAGATTAATGGAACTCCCCATGTTCTCTTCCAGGCCCGATGGACTCATGTATCAGATGTTTCGCAGTCAATTTTTAGCATTTTCAATATTTCAGAGTGAGTATATCTTGCCTTGCTAATTCAGGGGGTAAAGTCATTTTGTGTCATATGTGCTTAAAAGAAAACACTTTCATTTGGTAAATACTGGAATGTTAAACTGTAGGAATATAAAGATTGTGTACAAATATGCAATCTACAAATATAAGCAATAATTAAATGCTGTTGGATTAAACATTATTAAAGTAGGTTGATACTTACCATATTTCTGAATAACCAGTGGAGTGATGTTTTCTCTCTCCTTCTCCAGGCTGTGTTCAGTTCTTGCAGTATTATTACCAAAGGGGCTGCCTCTACAGGCTCCGGGCTTTGGGGGAGAGAAACCACTTGGACCTTACAGTAGGTGAGGCGTCCTGCTGGGCTTTCTTTGCACAGGTTTTGGGTGCAGTGATAGGGAGGGAGAGGGCTGTGTGCCCCCCATGGCAGAGCTGTCCCCTGCCTGCCTGCCTGCATCCCAAGGCAGGATGGGCAGTGAGACTTTTATCCCCCTCCTCAGGTCCTGTAGGTCAGGAGCAGAGGAATCTGTGATCTTTGTGAGCATTTGAGCAGACTAAGATGGAGGTTTTTGTCATCCCTAACTTTATCCTCCTCTAACTACCCCAATTTCAAACAAATCTTTTTACTTGATAGGAGTAGCCCTTATGGTGGTGATCTGGGTGGGAGGAGCTGCAGGTTCAGTCCTGGCTCTTCTGTGCTCACACTCTGCCTCTACTGTCAACCTTTTCCAGAAGGATTCCAGTCCTGGATGTGGCGGGGGCTGACGTTTCTCCTTCCCTTCTTGTTCTTTGGGCATGTAAGTTGGGAGATCCCCTCCTCCCTCTGTGGTGCAGTGTCTGCTGCTGCACCACCCAGAGGTGCTTTGGATCACACACAGCCATGACAAACGTTTCCAAGGCTTAATTCTTTTTGCTCATAATTAAATTGCCTTTTTTCTTTTCCCCTCTGCAGTTCTGGCAGCTATACAATGCAATCACTCTTTTCAGATTGTCAAGGCACAAGGAATGCAAAGAATGGCAGGTGTGTGCTGGCTCTGCTCAGAAGAAGCACAGAGCAGGGCAGAGGGGGTGCTTGACCACATCCTGGAAGATATTTGGGCATCTGACTGCATTTAAATATCTCAGGATAATGCAGCACAGAGCCTGTTCTGTGTCTGGTAGAGCCCAGCAGTGTTGAATATAAGCCATGTTGTAATATCACACAGTAATAAATGCTGCTTCCTCTTCCTTTTCAGGTTTTTGTGTTGGCTTTCACATTCCTGCTGCTGTTCCTCGGGAACTTCCTCACTACTCTCAAGGTGGTGCACACTAAACTGCAGAAGAATAAAGACAAGGTGAAGAAGCTGTGACTGCCCCTGTTCCCAGTGTGCATCCATGCCTGTGCCCCAGCAGGGCTGGGTGTGGGACAGACCCTGCCCAGCCCCAGCCAGGCCATGGGTGGGCTCAGGACTCGCCTGTCCCCGTGTCTGGTAAAGGACTCTGCCAGCACAGACTCAGTATTAATGCAAGCATGGCTCTCCAGTCACACTCCTGCTATTTATGTATATTTAATATAAAATGTATTTGCTTCTGGGGTTTTTGTTCTGTATATAGAGCAGCATGCACCTGCCTGGCCAAGCGCCAGCATTGGGGGAAATGTGGGATCTACTGTAATTCCAGTTCTGGAATGATACCTGACACTTTGCAGTTTTATTATTTAAATTCTGGGTATTGAATTTATTGAGGTTTATGAACACTCTGGGTGGATCAGTAATACAGAATGAATGCTGTTTTTCAAGGCATATTCTCAGTGGCAATACTAACCTGTGTGTACTGTGAAAAGAAAATACTCATCTTTGTACCATACTGCTGCTATATACACTTCTAAAAAGCTATTTAAAGAAGAGGAATTCCTCATTTGAAAACAAAATCATGTGAACAAAAGCAGTTTTTAAATGGCAGGGAAGTCTGCTAGCCCTTTTCCAGGGAGACCAGGTCATTTGTCCAGGCCTGAAAGAACCTAAAATAAACCATTCAATATGCAACTGCCTCTGCCCTTTTTTAGTTACAAGCACATGGCCCTTGGGTTGGTTTTTGAGGTTCTGGAAAGGGGAGGACAGGCTCAGCTCAAACATTAAATACTTCCTTTAGATGCTGCGCTTGTACCAATAATGAAGAGAAGGGAAATGCTGGGTCAAGGGGATGGCAGGGGACAAACACTGACTGCTACCTTGCTAAAGTCCTTGTGCTGCTTGAATTTGCACTCACCCATTGGAACACCTTCTTTGGGTGCTGTAACTTCTGTACCTCCTCAGGCAGCTGCAGCACTGAGCTGCCCTGGGCTGTGTCTTTCCCAGCAGTGAAAGGCAGCACAAAGCCCAACCTGGGCACATCCTGTGGCAGTGTGAGTGGCAAACAGTGCCCTCCTCCCCAGAGGGTGCTCACCAGGGGACAGACAATGCACCACAGCCTTGAGATGGAGTCATCACTTCTGCTGCTCAAGCTAGCAAAATTCCCTTTGCTGTGTCAGTGTCCTGTGGGCATGAACAATAAACTGCAATTTGCATAATTTCAACAGTTTTCACACCAGCTGGGCTGTGTTTTGCTGTCTTTTACACACCCTGTAAGGTTTTTTGTTTTACTCGAACTCTCAGTTTATGAGATTCAAATTATTGTCTGTTGAGAGCAAACTGGAACCTCATTCTGCAGGAGTGGGTAACATGAGTTCTGCAATCTGAGAAACTCAGATTAAAAAAGCCAGAGAGATTTCCACTGGGGAGCTGATGGTGAATGGGTCACTTCCTGAACGTTGGTGTTTCAGTTTTGTACTGAGTGAGGTGAGGGGTGGTTCTTTTAGTGACAAGTGGAGAAAAGGCTGCACAATTCTTCAAGGTTTTTCTATAGTCAAGGATGTGTACAAATTTCCAATTAATTTAATTTCCCATTTTAGGCTCATAAGTATTCAAAAACCTTAATTAAATCAAAACAAGTTAGGAAAAAAAAGAAAAATATTTTTCAAGGGTCAAGACCTGTTTACCTGCATGTAAAATAATAATGGTGGCTTGCTCCAAAACAGGTTTGCACCAGCTGGTCATGTACAGTTTGCCTTACACAGAAAGCTTTCAGCAACAGCTGTACTGCAGGAACCTCATTTCCCCCCTCAGGTTTGGTTTTTGATGAGTGCAAACTAAAGATTGTTCCTGCAGTCTGAGATCTCAGTGAGAACCAGGAGATAGGAGGCACATGGACCAGGGTGTGCAGTGGGAGCCTCCCTGATTCTCAGACAACTGACACCTTCATCACAAAAGGGAAAATTTTAATTTGTACCAGCAGAGATGATTTCACAAGTGAATGAATTTTCCTCCAGTGTGCACCACGATTTACATCTGTCTTGTATTAAATAGGCTGTAAATATTTATCACAAGACTGATTTAACATTACATGTAGTAGCTGCTCGGAGTACTTCTAAATTTGAGTCCTGTAAATTAACTGTTTCCCATGACACTCCATTATTTAATTGGAGCAACTGATGTATTTCCACTGCTAAATGCCACTTTCCATTCCACCAGCCTTGAAGAACTCTGAGGTGCAGGTCTGCAGAGGGGGTGGTGGATGTTCCATGTGCACTCAGGGGGCAGCTTGAGGCCAACTCCTGCCATTGCCACCAAGAAATTAACTGGAAAATTTTAATAAAAAACTTCTTCTGCCTGATAAGCTGCTTTAGCATTGCTTCTGAAAGATGTGAGTTTTCTACTGGAAAAAGGCAGTAAATTGTAGCTCTAACATGCCACAATTATTTTGCAGAGGAAGAAAAACTCCAACACTAAGTTCTATAGTAGCAGTTGCTGTTCATTGCAGTTTAAATAGTGAGTTGTTCACACTTAGAAGCAAAAGCCAGATGGGTGAAGGCACACAGCATGAGTTAACTGTGATAAACAGCTTTGAAAATTCCGTGAGAACAGTATAACAAAAGTGCAAAAATACTAAAAATAATTAAAATTTCAAAATAAAAATTATCCTAGGAATACAAATATGTTTTCAAAAAAGTTTTTAAAGTGAAACTTGTATAAAATCTGAATCACTTGGCTCTCGTGCAGTCCAGATCATAACACTGAGCACACTTTCCGTTTCCTGTGGCCCTTGGCTTTCTTCATGGCACTCAGTGCAATGGCTGTGGCTTCTTTAAAAACATTTTCTATGTTCTCACGACATTTTGCTGAGCATTCCAGGTAAATTTGTGCATTAATCTCCTTGCAAGCTGCCTCACCCTGGAAAGAACAGAAAGGTAAGAAAAGATGTAATTTTGGTGATGAGTGAAGGAAGGTGAGTTGGGAAGAAAGGGAAATAATTTGTACATCTTTGCAATCTTGAAGAAAGCAGCTGCCTCTGAGTGCTGTGCTAGAGTGTGAGTGGCATTGGTAATAAACTGAAGCACTGTAAATAAACTTGGTGTTTTTCCACTCTGCTGAACCAAAGCCTGGCCTAAGAGTTCAGAGCATTAGAGACTCTTGAGATGCAGAGTCCTGATAGCACAAAAATATTCTCAGTATTGAATTTCTTTACACTAAATGCTGAGGTAGGTGTTTAAGTGAGGATAAGATGTCTTCATGGTGGTATTTTTTTCAGGCCTGACCTTAACTATTCTGTGCTGTCACCTTTAGTAATGAATGTCAGGACAGAATCTGCACTGATGCCTTGCCTTGTTTTGCTGGTGCACATGCAGGAACCTTGACTTCTGCTCTGAAGCATCACAAAGGCTCAGCCAAAATCCTCACAAAAACAAAGGGGTGCCTGCATTTCTCAGCCATGCAATGGGAACATGCTTGAATCTGAAATATTTCCATGCAATGCTGGTTGTGTGGAATCACTACAGACAAAGCACAGTGATTTCTTACTTGTGATCCTTTTATTGTCCCTGCAGAGCCAGCCCCCAGGTTTGGCTTGTGGGCCTTTTATGTGAATTCCAGGTCTGCAACCCATGGTTCACAGACTCTGCAATTATTCATTGTAATCTCTGGGAGTGGGGTCACTTGGGCTTTTGTTGGAGGGGAGGGTGTTTCTTCATATTTAAGCAGTTTGCAAGCTCCTTCCAGTTGTTTGCAGCTGCAGTGGTGGCAGATACTGTTCAGATCCCCTGTGCCTGGCATGGGAAGCATCACCAAGGTGCCCAAGGTGCCATCAGCTGTAAAAAACTGAGGTAGAGCATATTTCAGGGAGAAAAAACCAACTGAGAGGGCTCACATAGGAGACAAAGTTTGTGTAACATGTGAGCCCTTGAGTTAACTGCATGAGGCCTCAGCAGACTGGCCAGAAGTTGCTTGTCTGGAACCTCTGTTGCTTGTCTGGAACCAGTCTGTTGCTTGCCTGGAACCTCTCATGTGAGGATGATGAAGGGATTTATTCATGAAAACAAGGGACAATCTGCAACTGCTCACAGTGACAGGCTGGGACCTCATCTTGCATGCAAGGGAGACAAACTAAAAGGCCCAGCATGGTTTTGTGGTGATGTAGTTGCAGTTTATTTTCCTGCTGTTTAGAAGTGGTGATTCACTCAAGGTCACCATGCACTTGACCCTGTTCCCTGGACGTGTGGCTCAGTCTGAAAGCTGCTGTTCTTGCTCTGAGGTGAGAGGAGAAGGATGGCTTTGTAGTTTAGAAAAAAGAAAAAGAAAAATTGGAGGACCAGAGCAGAAAGGTCTTGTGTGACATGGGACAAGCTGTTCCATCACTGTTTCTCCTGTACCTAGGACAGCTATCCAGTGACATAACACTACTCATTAATCTAACTGCTTCAAAATACTTAGAGATAATGATAATATGTAGTTTTCCTAAGATTACTTTAGAGACTACAAAGAACAGTCTCTCATGTCAGAGAAACCTTGCAGATGTTCTTGCTATTGGCCTTGAAAGGATTTATTTTTAAGTGGGATTTGCAAAACACATTTATTCCAGAACAGTCATACTGGAATGGGTTTCCTAACATCTCCAGTCTTTATCACATTACTGATCAAAGCATCAGTGATAGCTGCAGTGTAGGCTAATAACAATTATGAAGGAAGTCCAGCAAACTTGTTAAGGCTTACAAACTTGTGACAGTAATAACCCAGCTGTGAAAGAAGAATGTCATTAGCATAGAAGGCAGATAGTTGTGTCCTTTAGATACTGCTCACATTTCTCTTTACTTTGGCGCTAAAAGCGGGTGGTGATTTGGCCACTTCCAAAAACAACTTCCAGAAAGCTCTGTTAGTGCTGTCAACCATTTCTTGATCTAGATCACCTGATTTTGCAGTGTCTGTGATCATAGCTGTGAGGAGCAATGCCATGAGGTGCTTTATCTGCTGCCAAGAGGCCAGCAGAGTAGAAGCAGTGAGGTTTACCTGGCTGTAGGTGATGGGCTCCTGCCTGGCAGCCCTGAGGCGGCGCAGCTGCTCCTTGTCCTTGCGCAGGTCGGTCTTGCAGCCGATCAGCACCAGCGGGACGCCCCGGCAGAAGTGATTCACCTCAGGGTACCACTGCGGGCAGCAAAACAAAACTTTTACATCCGGTTCTTATTTTGTCGTTTGTTTCCTGAAATCAAAACAATACAGCCAAGCAGCATTTAATACAAGTTGCAATTTTAGAGTTTTGGAGTTAGTCTAGTGGAGGGGGCTCAACATGCACTTATTTACATCCCAGAAATGTTTAAAAGTCCTACCCAGAGTCAGCTGCTTTATAAAAACATAGTGGCATCTGTCTCTATGCCAAAATGTTTATTTACCATCTGTCTAAATTCTGAGGAGCTCTTCTAAAGTCACATTTCAGAACAGAATTTGGACTAAGCCTTGCTTTGTTTTCCTGGTGCTATGTCCAAGAATGTTTTGGAATGTTACAAAATCCCAGCACAGAGAAGTGGTTGCTCTCATCTCTCCCCTGCAAATAAATACACACGTGATTGAAGTAGTTTTGCCTCTAAGATGTGCAACGTTGGTTGTGTGACATTGCTGCAGATACAGAAGTGATTTAATTGTTGGTGTTTGATCTTTTTAGTGAGAGTCAACCCCAGTTCTGAGCACTTAGGAGCCATGGAGAGGTGAGCCCAGGTCTAAGGTCTGTGCCCTGCAGCTCAGTGCAGGATGAGTGATCTGGGCATCCACACACGCAGGGTACAGGACACTAAAAGCCCCAGCATTTCTAATCTGACATCTTGTCATATATCAGGCATGTGTAATTCATTTAGAAGCCTCTTACCTTGGCTGCTACATTATCATAGCTGGTGGGGTTCATGACATCATAACAAATTAACACCACGTTGGTGTTCTGGTAGGAAAGGGGCCGCAGCCGGTCATAGTCCTCCTGTCCTGAAACACACAGCATGGTTTGGGTGAAGAAATCTCTGTCCTGAGCAAGCAAACAATGGGGATGCGTACAGACACATTCTGGAGATCAAGAACAATGGTACTATAATTTCATACTTGTAAATTCCTTCCCTTGAGTACAGGAGATTCCCCCTCACTGACAAAACGGATGGTTTAGAATACAGAACACATCCTTGGCAGGTTTTAATAAAAAGCCTGCTTTGTCCACTTGCTGAGGACTTAGAAGCAGTTCTAAACACTGACTGCCAAGTTGGTGCTCAAAAATAAAGTCATCAAGAGGAATATGACAATTATTATTAAATATTTTCAGTTTGACAGTGGCAGTCCCCATAATCATTTGCACATATGATGCTGTGAGGAGAAGAAACACTGTATTTCCTAGACAGGAATGGTGAAGCAGAAACCTTGGTGGCAAACCTGCTTTTCCCAGCCTGGTGAGCTGAGAGGAAGCAGTGATTACACACAGGCTTGTACAAGGCATGCTGCAGCATGAGCCAGGCTTAACTGGCCTTTGAAGCAGGACTCCCCAGCAGATCTGAGGGAATTCTGCTGAATTCTGGAAAAGCAGGGGATTTGTCATACTTCTGATTAGGGATATTCTAGCACGTGATGTGACAAGAGGAAGCTGATTTGCTTCAGACCTGTGCTCTTCCCCTTACAGCAATCACCGTGCCAGGGGCTGAAGGTGTCTTGCTCTGAGACATTAAGTTTGAGAAAGCAGTAATTCCCAGACACAGCTGGCAGCTCAGGAAAAAAACCCCAATCTTTTTCATTTAATAAGGAAGAAAGCATGATTCAAGCAGTCTTTAGAAGGTGTATTTGTCCTCTGAATGCTGGAATCAGACACGTGTCTGTGATGTACTGAATTTCCACAAGGAGAACTGGGAATGCTGGTCCTTGCCACAATCCACACACAGATCAGAAACTGCCCTGCAGGGAAGTTCCACATCTCAAATCTTCATGTTGATATTTCAAATGAAGGAATGCAGAAAATTTCAGTGTGCCCCAACTTTACAGCAACGATTCCTGCTCTCAGTCCAAAGTCATGTACTCATCACTTGCCAACATTTTTGCCTCCAGTGTGAGGAACTGCAGATACTAGAAGGCCAATAATACTACAATATTTTTCTCCCTTCCTTAATTTAAATGATTGGTTGATATACATTTTATTCCAAGGCAATCCCTGCTGGATAAGCCATTACTCAGTTTGCCTGAGATGTTTGTACAATGGGAATCTTGGACTTGGACCATTTTGTATTTGAGCTTCCACAACAGCCATGGGCTCTGTGGGGAGGTGCAGAACAAAGAGGGATTGATATCTCGGGGTTTAATCCAGAAATAATACACAATTGACAAAATTATGCATGTTGTATAAACATTCAGAGCAAAGATTGTACTGCTTATCCCTTCTTATTCTCCCAAACCATCTACTTGTTTGTAACCCATTTGCCATTTTGTTGCTGAGATAATCCCTTAAATGCATTAAATACATCAGGTGCCAGGGTTTTTTTTCCTCCTAACTTCCTCTAGCGCTGTGTAAAGTTTTCCTTGTTGAACTGAGTTTCTAACAACATAAGTTGTAAAATTAAAAGGTCCTCTGAGTTGTTGTTGGCAATTGGTGAGGCAGACAGGGCTGTCCCTTAGGGAGAAACATGTTTATTTGCTTGGAATCTGAACAAACCTCTAAATTCACACCCTCCTGGATGGAACAACAGAAAAAGTGTCTGTAATTATGTGACACAGTATGTTGTATTGCAGGTCAAAAACTATAGCTATGCCCTGGTGAACTGCTCCTTCATCTTCAAATCCATTTGCAGTTATGGGTTTTAAAGCAAACAGTAAATGCATGAGAAAATGCTGTGTAAAACACGGCTCTGTGTGCATTTGGAATGTTGGATACAGAGTGCAGGACAGGGTGGGGTGCAGAGAGCAGAAGGGGAAGGTGAGATGGCAATTGCTTAACCTGTGTTACAGCTGGGTGGTTGCAGCACTCCCAGGGAAGGAGGGGGAAGCTGCTCTTCAGCTCAGATGCAGCTCCTCAGCTGCTGAGGATGTAACGGGACCCAGATCAAGCTGTATCTAAACATAGACATCCCCCTCTCTGAAAACAATCCCTTTCACCCCCTGTCCTCAAGTGCTGCTGCTGAAATGCAAGAAAGGGCCTGGGAGATTTTTTTTCTCTATAAAGCTGCTCAGTCTGTGGTCAGAGCTAATTTGGCAGAGATTTGGGTATTTTTTCTAAGAGTTTTAAAAAGGAGGAACAGAGGTGAACCTAAGCAGTAACTGAATTTCTATGCAAAGCCCTGTGTGTGCTTCCCCAAACACAGGTAGCTCTTTCCTTTCCCCAGTTAACACAAAACATGCTGTGGAGGAGTTGGTTAAGTATCTGCCTGTGTGTGAGCCCATCTGTGACCCCACTGTCTTCCTTGATTCATTGCACCAACAGAGACTTTAAGATTTTTTAAAGAAAAAACTCCACCCAACTGAATTCACCTAAAATTTGCTATTTCTCTGCCCAGCTCCCAGTCCTGCGTGCCTCTGGGAGATGCTGTGTAACCACATGGCTGCAGTCAGGCCCTGTGCTGGGGAGGGAGCTCTGCTGGGGGCTGAGGGTGAGCAGAAGTGAAACCACAGGTCTCAGTCTCATGTACATGTTCACATCTGTCTGCTCTTCCTCACCCCTCTGCCCATGCACCACCAAAGAAGTGCCAGCCTGTGAGCTGCTTGCCAGTTATGTTTTTTCCCTATTCAGTTTAAAACAAATTAGGAAATGGACATTCTTGGCAGGAAGAAAACTGACAGAAGAGGACACTTGGGGCAGGAGGAGGGGCACACATCAATTAAAAAAATGAGGGTTTTGTCTTACTCAGGCATGACTTCCTGTCAAAGTTATGAGAAATTATTCTCGCATTCAAGAATTCTGGCTTTTCAAATTTCTCTGAAGACCTTGTGCTTCTGTCATCAGAGACCTGAAAAACCTCTCTGGAGGCCTTGCATGTGCTTCCTGTCAGGCAGAGCAAGCACCCACAATGATGAGGCATTGCTTCCTCCCCAGCCCAGCAGTGCTCTGCTCTCTGCTCTGAGAAACTGCTGCACCAGGAATTGAGCCTCGGTCTGAACTGCACCTCGGGCACCAACACTGCCCCCTTGGCATGGCAAAACCACAGAGCTCATTTACCTCCCAGTGCCTGTGCCCCTGCCAAGCACAGCTGGAAGTGGAAACTTTTCATTGAAAAAGCAGCTGCAAAGGCTGCCTGCAGACAGACAAGTGACGTTACAAAGCCTTTACACATTGCAAATGTGCGCCACCAACTTCCAGCAACAGCAAGAAGTGTTTGAGGAGGAAGACACAGTACCACAGTACAAAACGCTCACCAAAAATTATTTTTCTTTTATTTTAGGCTAATCCATTAAGTTCATTTGTTACCTAAATTCTTGTCAAGAAAATAACATCTTATATTTCTTGTAATGTTTGTTTCTTAAGCTTTTTGTTTGTGTCCTCCTCCCTCAGTAAGTAGGACAAGATCAAATGTTTGAGCTACACAGGACTCGACAATACAAAGAATCTTTCCAACTTTGAACAGCCCATGGAGCTGAACCTGTCCTTTGCCTTTCCATGATGCTGTCGTACACCCAGCTCTATTTACTGTTGCTCCAAGCAAGATCCTAAAAATACACAACTCTTGGAGCTAGTCTAACCCTTAAGGAACTGAACATCAGTTTTGTACCATTAAAAACAGGATGAGATTAAAATGTGTACTCAAGTGAGTCCTTCCTCTAGCAAAACTTCCAGTTACAGAAAGAGGCTAAAAACCTGCTTGAATTAGAGTTTGACAGAGTTTATAGATATGTAACATAAAACTATGTAAGCAGCTTTGAAAGAGAACCAAAATTCAGGTTTTCCCCCTCCCAATTAAATGTCTTATTCCAGGTGACAATCTCCCTGCTTTCTTTCTTGCTGCGTCTTATGGAAAGCAGAAGAAATTTAACAGGAAGGGAGGAGACAAGTGACAACAGCCTCAAGAAACTTGTAGCCTTGTGGCCATGGTGCTGTTTTGGGAGGTGAAAAATGTTGGGTTTCGAGGTTCCCAGAAGAGAGAAGGAAAGCAATTGCTCTTTCACACCAACAGTGGCAGCTCCACTTCCCAAAGTGTCTCACAAGACACAAAATACACCCCACTGTTCTTCAGGGGAGCAGTGCTTTAGTGCAAATCAGTTTTTACAGCTGTAAATTCAATGTGGAAGGTACACACTAAGAGTTATATGCATAAACAGGGAAATTACAGGAAGTGGGGTAATGGTTTTAAACTATCAGAGGGCAGATTTGCAATAGAGACAAAGGAGAATTTTTTCACAATGAGGCACAGGCTGCCCAGAGAAGCTGTGGCTGCTCTATCCATGAAAACATCCAAGGTCAGTTTGGAAAAGGCCCTGAGCAACCCGATCTAGTTAAAGCTGTCCTTGTTCATTTTAAAGGTCCCTTCCCACCCAAGCTGCCGTGATGCTGCAGTGAGCCATGAGCTCAGTGAGCAGTGCCTGGGCTGCTGGGGCCTGCAGGGCTGGGGCAGAGCTGAGTTTTGAGACACAAGGAGCTGTGCAGCCCTGCCAGGCTCAGGAGAGCTCAGTGCTGCACTGCTGCACCTGCCCAGCCCGCTGCCACCTCTGGGTCCAGCCCCTGCTCCTCACAGCCTGCAACAGACTCCAAAGGCAAATGCGGGAATGTGTGGCATGGGGATTTTAAATGAGAGCTCAGAACTATGTGGCAGGCAAAAAATCCACACTGACAGCAAACAAATATAAAAATCATGAGTGCAGTGGCAGGTTATTGGTGCCAACACCCTGTATTAAGGAAATTCCTCTTTGGTTGCTCACACCAGATTCCAATCCTTCTCTTTTCCTCTTAGACCCAAACCCCTTGCCATCCAGTAAAAGGTATGTTATCCCAACTAAATGGACTTGGAACAGTAACACTGACCCAAGAAGACACATTGACAAATTGGGTGCTCAGGATCTTACTACACTGTAGTAAAAGTTAGCAGTGAAATTCACTTCTAGATTAAAAGCCTTTTAAATTATGTTTTCAGCTATCACTTGCAGTATACAAGAAGGTAAGTGTGTTTTATTGCTATTAAAAATGACTGGACTGCATTTGGTTCTTATTTCTCTTGGTGTAAATTTGGAACAACTCCACAGGCTTGAATTGAAACAGATGATTTACACTGAGCTGAAACCCAGCACGTGTCAATTTTAGGGTTCATTTAGGAAAGCAGCTGGGTAACAGAGTCTGGGAACTTTGAGTGAAGTTGAACACAAACCATTTCACAAGTTCTTCAAATGAACCTGAACAACTATCAGCATTTTCAAATAACTTTTACTGCCATGGCCTTTTGATTTTGAACACAAACCAGCCTTTTTCTCCTTCCCTATTCAATCACACATGGCAGCAGATTAAAATGTTTTCCTGGTTGATTGTATTATGTTTTGCATCTGGGAATTGGGGTTTAATACTTCCAGATATGATTGCTATTTGATGTTTCTGAATTAATTAGGTTGTTAAGATAATGAATGAGTTGATGACCAGAACTGCCATTAGACAATCAATTCCTTTTTTTCTGAAAGGCACATTGATATGCAACAGGTAGTGGTGGTTGGTTTGTTTGTACTTTCCTCTCTGGCAGTTTTACCTGCAATTGGTAAGGTGAAAAAAGAGGAATTTTACCTGCAATGCTATGGTGAAATTATGCTGGTAGAGAAGAAATTTGAAAACCTGTCCAACTTTACAGTCTTCAAATATTGGGCTGATTTAAGCTGACACTGAGAAATCTGCTGGAACAGAAACTGGGGGTGCGTGCGCTCACAAGAGCAACACTTCACAATTTCTGCTTATTTGCCTGAAGTTACGAAAGGCTGGGCCGGGTTTGGGCTCAGTCTCAGGCCAATGTCCCCGAGTGCTGCCCTGGCAGTGGCCGCACAGGCGCTGCCCTCGCAGCAAAGTGGAGCCCCTTACCTGCGGTGTCGTACAGGTTCAGGGTGACCTCCTTCTTCCCCACCGTCACACTCGTCGTGTACTTCTCAAAAACGGAGGGCGCGTATTGCTGCAAAGGAGAAGGATCTCGATGATCTCAGAGGCCTTTTCCAGCCTCAGCGGACTCAGTGATTGTGAGAAGCGGTGCTGGCGGGGCCCAAGCGCTGGGGCCGGCCCCGGCTGCGGCCCCCAGCCCCGCGGGGGTGGCAGCCCCTCACCTCGGGGAAGGAGCCCTTGGCGTACACCATCAGCAGCGACGTCTTCCCGCAGCCTCCGTCGCCCACGATCACCACCTTCACCTGCTTCCTGCCCGACGGGGCGGCCGCGGGGCCGCGGGGCTGCTCCGCCGCGCCCTCGGGCACGGCCCCGTTGGCCGCGTCCATGGAGCGGGAGCGGAGCGGGCCCGCTGAGGGCGCAGCGCGGCCGGGACGCGGCTCCGCTCGCCCTGCGCGCCCGGGGCGGGCAGAGCCGCCCGCGCCCCGCCGGGGATTGGCCGCGCCGCCGCCTCAGGTGCCGCAGGGCCCCGCCCGGGCCCCCCCGGACACTGGGGGAGCCTCTCCCGGAGCCGCGGCCTCATGGCCGGCCCGCGGCCGCCCGCAGGCTGCGGCTGCTCGGGGTCACGGCGGGAAGGCCCCTCAGGGCCGCCGGGGCTGCTCCGCCCGCCCTCGAGGCTCCATCCCCCTCAGGCCGCCGGGCAGCCCTCGAGGCTCCATCCCCCGGGACCAGCGGGCCGCGTCCCTTTGCCCTTCCAGCCACACACGCCATCCCCATTTATTTATTTATTCATTCCCGTTCCATTTGCTCCCATAGGGAGCCCGTCCAGCGCCGCGCTGGATCCCGCCAAGGGGCCGGCGCGGAGGGAGCGCTGCAGTTCAGCCCCGGTGTGTGAGCGGGGCCGAGCCGGGCCGGGCACGGTGAGAGCAGGGAAAGACCCCCGAGGCACCCCCGAAAGGCACCGTGGTGCTGGCACTGCCAGTGACTCACTGCTTGCTTTCCACTGATTTATTGCTTGGGAAAGAACCGACAGCTCTGCTCGTCATCTGCTCACCATCCAAGGTGAGCTGCAATGAAAATAACTGGAATTTCTCATTTTAATTGCAGGGATGTGGTGGCCTCAGGCTTCCATGTGGTGTTTTTGGTACCATGGATCACAGGGGATCACAGCAGCTGGTTATGTTTGGCTCTGGAAGGGGATCATAACTGCTGGATTATGTTTGGTTCCAATGCACAGGTCAGGGGAGTGACACTGAGTTTTGGACAGACCACTCAGGTGCAAATCCACCGCCATTCAGCACAAAAGAACCCCACATTTCTTTACTGGCAGGAATTAGCACTGTGCTCTATCCTAAGTAAGTTTGTTTATAAGAAATAAAAATTTCCTCAATTTTGTTTTTTAAATACCACTTGTGGAAATAGCAACAAACCCCTAAGGACATGCTGGGGTGTAGCAAGACCGTTTAACTCAACTAAGAAAAAAAAAAAAAAAAAATATAGAACCACAATTCGAGTAAGGCTTTTCATTTTCCCCTGCGCAGTTGTGTCACTAGATGGCCTCCAGACCCAATACAAACACCACTGCACTCTGGCAAGGAGGATCCTGCTTTGTGCACAGGGCGAACAAAAAGCTAGAAAAGGATATTTCTGCAATAGACAAGAAGAAGGACTTGTAATATTTAACAGAGTGTCATATAGCTCAAATTATAACAATAAAAAAGCGGTTAAATTCACACCTATTTAAAATTCACCGTTTTCTATGGAAAAAGTTGATGCAAGCATATAGAAATTGTCAAAAAATGCTTTATGAGCCACAGGCTTATAAATCTTATTTGGAACACAGGAAAAGCCATCAACTCCTGTCCAGTGTAATGGCTGAGAGCATTCCAATGGCACAGGAATGGATGGGCCAGGAAATAATTTGTTTTATCCTGAAATGATTTATTTAAACCTGGCTCAAACCCAGTATCATACTATGTATGATACAATCAGCAGATAAAGTTAACAGTCATCCTGTAACTGAAGAATTCAGGGGGATTTTTTCAAGTCAATTATTTCCATTAAAAGGGGATTTTGGGGGAGGGGGGATAAAAGTATTTTGTGGTTCATTATTAATTTGTGAAGTTTTGCTTTTTGTTTTTGGGGTTTTTTTTCCAAGTCTCACAAAACAATCTTTACATTTCTCACAGCTCTGTCTCCTTGTACATTCTATATAAAAGTTAAAGAAACTTTTAGATTTGTACACCTTTAGATTTGGGATGGAACAACAAAAAATAAGCAGACTACAAATACAACTGTAAAGACTCCAAAGACTATTTTTAAGTAATGAATGTTCTACTTGTAATGAATCAACTTATTATGGATTAAATACAACATTCAGTGTCTCAGGTACTTAATTTTAATTAGCAGCTATGCAGTACTTTAGGCATATCATTTGGGTTTGGGCAAAAGCTGAGCCTATTTTGCTGACTCCAAAAAAAGCAAAATCTAAAATGGAATTGTGCCACTGATTTAAATGGAAGAAGATTCAACCCTCTATTACTGAAATTCAAATATGATCATTACTAATTGCAAGTGTCCTTCTCTAGTTCAGTTTTGGCCTGTACATTGATTTTGGCACAAGTTCTTTCATCAAAAGCTTCCACATCTGCAGCTCAGGGGTCAATGTGTGCGTGGGGATTCTCAGTGAGCACAAGCAAGCCAGGGCATTAGTGGGGGATGGAAAATATCCCTGCTCCAATCCTGGTGCCAATTTGTTGCTCCATGATCACCAAGGAAAAAGTTAGGAAGGAGTGAAAGATTAGAACACTGCTTAGGAAAACTGCTGGGAGTTTGTGATTTTTAAAAGATGCTTTAACACTCTGGATGGTATTGATGGTTAATTCAGGTTAGTGATGGAAACATCCCAAAAAAGACTCACAGATTAGGTTCAATATTGTTTGCACACACCATCTGCTGCATACTCCTATTGTTGGTTTATTTGGTAACACAAACTGGACGAGAATGGGGACCTGTTCTTCCTTATTGTCAACAGAACTGTGTTTTTGAAATACACTTCATTTTTTTCTTCCCAGTTTACAAAGATTTCAACATAACAACAAATCCCATTTATGTCCAAGGTAATATTCACAAACTTAGTTAAGAAAGTGCATAACAAGACAGAGCCTTAAATATGTATTTTTTAACATTACCAGTGACATTAATTATTTGTGTTTTCAGCTATGAAGTCCCACTCCAGCATGTACTGAGCAAGAGCAATGCCTTGAAAAATTCACAGTAGGAAAGACAGACCCTAAGGAATGGGATTTACCAAGTAAGTCGGGTGAATCTCTGATAAATTTCAGATGTTGTACAAGGCCAACAATTGCTTGTCACATGCACCCAGATTCTTACTGAGGGAGTCTCTGCCCCACAGAATTTATCATGGACAGGGCACAGAAGGAAGGGGGAATTATGATGTGGGAGGGCTGAACTATCCCTGCACAGAGCACAAAGTTCTGGAGACAGAATCAGTGTGAGAGGAGAAACCTGTGACAAAGCAGGTGTACACTGCTCAAGGTGATTCCTCCTGTTTACAGAACAAATGAGCAAAATTGTTTTTCGGTTGTGCTTTTGCTCAAAGTGCCAACACTGCTCTGACCCTCACAAAACCCTCCACACAATTTCCAAAATCAAAGCTCCCCAGTGTCCCTGACTTTCAGCTGCTCCTCAGTCTCCATTTCTGCAGTGTTTCTCACTGCTCCTCTCACACATGCTGAGCTCAACCATCTGCTCCTCATGGCCTTATATTTTACACACGTGCCCCCACCCCAAAAAATCCCTTGGGCCACATGATTCACCATCTATTCAAACCTTGCCATGTGCCTGGTTTTTTGTGTAGTAGCTCCTACTGATGTAAATCCCTTGTTCCATAAGGGCTCTCAATTGCCTTTTTCACTGAAGGCAAGGTGGCTGTGACACCTGCCAATCTCTGAGACGTTTAACCCAACCTGAAACATTATTACATTGTTGTTTGGCTGAGTAGGAGCCATATTTTTTTTCCCAGTGGGAAGTGCTGCCAGAAAGGCATTAACTTTCCAGACTATTAAGTAATATGGAAAAATTATATTTCAATAAGAAAATTTCCTTTCTGCCTTTTCATGCCTTAGAAATAGTTCCTGTTTCACTTGGCTCAAGTAGCCCCTGCACTAAATCAGTGCAGAAATCTTTGGATAAACTCTAAGTAAAATCTGTCCAAATGCTACCAGGGAGTTCAGAGGGTTGGGAAAGAAAACAGGACAAGGGTCTGCAAGGGGAGGTGTGAGACAAATTAAGACACACAACTCAGCAAAATCAGGCAGAGAATATTCAGGCACTCTAATGTAGCTTGGACAAACTTTATTAATAAACCACACACTCATGACTACCTGGTGAGCAGCTATTTATAGGGAACACAAACTGTTTCTTGGCTATTTTCTCTGGTATTCTTTAAATCAGGGGAGCCAACTGTGTGGGCCAACCTGATACATGCATGGCCAACGTGCTGTGTTTTGAATTTCTTCTTTCATTAGAAACTGAGTTCTTGGCTTTGCAGCTGTGGGGGAAAACCACCCCATTTTACAAACCTGAAGTAAATCATCGTGGTGACATCTCATCCTGATACAGTAGGTGCTTAGAGGCAGTTTCAAGTTTCTGTTGCTCACTAAAGCATGAAGTTTCAAGCCAAATTCTGTTGTGAAAAATGGGTAAAGGTTAGGATCATCCTATGCTTTTCTGGAACTTCAAACACAATGAGTGATCTCTGAAAAACATGAAATGAGCAGGTGAGTGTCTGCCAGCACCTCCACAGCTCTGCCCCCATGGATCTGGGGATGTGTCTCCCAGATGTGCCGAGCCACAGGCAGGAATTTGTCACCACAGCAATGCTGGATCTCATCCCCTGCTCTGCTGGGAAGGCAATCTGGGGATTGGTGCAGAGAGAGGGATCCAGAACACCTTGTTTCAGGTGAGATCTGCAGTTGTGTTTGCCTTGGGAGCTGGGCTTGGTTTGCCATGGGAACAGGCAGAAGCAGAGGGTTCAGGAGTGAGGCACAGCCTTGCTCTGGCTGACAGAGATCAGGGCTCTGCTACAGATCTGTGTGAAATTAGTCACCCTCAGATGCTCTTCTGCATCCAGATCTGCAGCAGAGAACACATCCCATCAGGAAGTAATTTGGGGAAATTTAGGGAAAAGGGCTACAAACAGCTTTGCTTGCAACACAATGTGTTCTTAGCCAGTATCCAACCAATCCCTTTAGTACAACCTCTAAAATCCCTCTGGCTTAGGCCTTCCTGTGTTTTCATTACCCAACATTCCACCTAACCCAGAAAGCATGAAGATATTATTTTTTACAAAATTGGAGCACTCTCT